TTACTGTAGTAGCAATCACATTACTGTTTGTGGGTTTGTGACCATTTAGATTGGGATCTCCGTCAAATAGATGAGAAGTATCGGTATCGATCAAGACGAACCAGCTGAAGAATAGACTGTCTTTATGTATTAGCGACATCGAGACGTGGTTGTGCGAGATACGTAGCATCGCCGCATTCGTTTGGATTGCCTACACCACAGAGACACCGATGAGCCAGATACTGGTCAGCGGTACACACCTGCTCAGCTTGCAGCAAAGAATCAGACACCGGATGAGACCGACCGATCGACTACACGACTTATGGCACGGATCGAACAATGAGGCGGCCGAAACCGATGCGAAGCGCTTTGGCGAATACGAAGATAAGCGACGGTCGTCGTCACTCTCTCGAGCAATAAAGCCGGTGTCGGTGCGCCTAGATCCGATGTTGTGTGCGTGTGTGCGTCAACGTTGCCCCCAGGCAGGATTGAACTACCGACCTTCCGCTTACTAAGCGGGTGCTCTACCACTGAGCTATAGGGGCTCCTCTCAACAACAACAACCAACCTGTTCTCACAACCCTCAGCACACAAACACACACACTACTCACTGTTCGCTACTCACTCTCAAATCAGATACGTGGCACACGTAGCACGCTTGGCGAGCAGACGAGTTCGTGTGTCGTGTTGAGCTTCATCAAAACTCATGGATTGATTCAGCGTATCGGATGCGGTTCGTGGCTCGGCGGACGCTGACGACGTCTACCGGTTCACGACGTGCCAGACCGACTTCGTCAGGAACACGCCACGCATGTAGCGGCTCCATGTCGCGAAGTTGTCGCCGTTGAACTTGTCGATGACGACCTTGGTCGAGGCATCGTTGGCAGATAACATCGTGTTTGGGCTCCTATCCTGATGGAAGGTATGGATTATGAATGACGAGAGGCTTGAAGGAGACGGAGGGAGGTAACACCGAAGACCGGAGTGAAGACACTCGTGGGTTGAAAGGAGATGTAAAAGTGCTTGATCTATAAGTCCTAACTCTGCCTAACCTAGACTGCATCCAATTACATGGTGCATCGAATCAACCTGATTTACACGCGTCCAATCATCCTACGCGTCTAATCAACTCTGAGGTAATTACCGACGTAAAACCTATCCCGTACCAACTACGCTTGAAGCTCGGATTGTACCAATGACCTTCAATAGAGACTTATCACCACTTGTCCGGCGTCAATGTCGACCACACGATACTCATTAGACACTTCTTCATAACACATGAAACTTCCAATGCGCGCCTTCGGGTCCCACTTGAGACGCTTCTCCTTCGGTGTCAAAATGTACGCTTGTCATCCGAAGACCTGCATGTGTTTAACGCTTGGCTTCGACTTGCACACGATCTCGAACGGTGTGACTTTTGTGGTATCTCGGGTTATGGCAGACGATGTTTGACGTAGACGGCCGTCATTGCTGCTTCAGCCCAGAAACACTTGTCCAACTTGGTATGATGTAGCAAACGGAGACCGATCGTGATGATAGTCCGTAAGGCACGTTTCTCAGTGCCGTTTGTATGGTGTGCGTGCACCGTCGTTTGCTACTCAATGGCTTCTTCTTCGTAAAACGTCTTGAGCGAGTTGGATGCGAACTCTCGCGCTCCATCATTGCGAACGAACTTGAACTTCTTGCCAAATGGAGTCTGGATCTTGACGATGTAGTTCTTGATGCAGTCTTCCGTCTCCGACCTGATCCGCAAATAGAAACCGTTCATGCAGCCACTGGCTTCGTCCACGATCAACAGCATATATCTGCTGCCGCCGATCGAGACATCTTTCAAAGGGCCGCAGATATCGGAGTGGCGAAGCTCAAACGTGTCGTAAAAGCGTTTGTCACGGCTGCTTGGAAACGGTTTTTGGACCATCTTCCCTTGTTGGCATCCACGACAAACGCTTGATCCACTCGACTTCGATGGCACCTTTGTATCTTTGATCATTTCAGTGTCCACCATCTTGCGAAGAACATCAAGTGGTGCATGACCCGTCTGCGCGTGAAGATCGATGACTTGGTCACTCGTTGCCGCAAGCGCCGATCGATGTGACATCCGAAGCCAGTAAAGTCCATCGACGAGATAAGCGGTGGCCACCACTTGAGTCGAGTTCTTGTGCGTCATGGTTATCATAGAGCCTTCGAACACGACTTAATATTTACCGCTCTCGTTGATCTGCAGTACCGATAACAGGTTCTTGCCCATGTTTGGCACGAACTGCACGTCTTTGATCTCTATCTCGCGCTCGTTTCTAGTTGGCAGGGCCACTATCTCCACGATGGTTCCAACGCCCTTGATAGCAGCTTTGCTTCCGTCAGCCACCGACAGTTCGACTTCATCCCGCTCGTTGAGACTTGCAAACTTGGTCTGGTCGTTTCCGATGTGGTGCGTCGCACCACTGTCGACTGCCCACATCCCTGGCAAATTCTTACCGGTCGTAAGTCCACACTCGAGCGAGACTGCACACGCCACTCGGTCAAAGTCGTCACGGTAGTTGTTGTTGTCCCTTTGCTGGACATTGTTGGCTCCGCGTCCACGATTGTTGCCGCCGCGTCGAGCGCGTTGGTTCTGATCTTTCTGCTTGGTCCAGCACCGCTCCGCCGTGTGCCTCAATTTTCCGCAGTGCGTACATTGACGAGGTTCACACTCGGCACTGAACGCCTTCGTAGCGTCTTCAGTCTTCACCGATGCCGTCTTGTTTCCTTGACGCTTGATGTGTTCATTTGTCAGCACTCTCACGACGTCGCGCGATCGCATTTCCGCCCTGATCATCTTCAAGTTCAGCACGACATTCTCGTCGCTTTAAAGTGCACAAAATGGGCGTGTGGGTGGCGGCAATTGAGACAAGGCATTCGTTTTATTTAAATGGGACGATGAAGTCGACGAGACCAAAAGATGTGATGAGTTGAACCGTGTAAGTAGGTTTTGTTCGTGTTAGAGATAAGAGAGTGGTGATGTATATTGATTAGGGGTATATATGGACGGCTCGGCAGACAGATTCATGCTGTCAGCTGTCGTTCCGCTGTATATTTCGTTGGGCCGAACGGCATTTGAGTATGTTTCGCTGCTTGATAAAGCACAAGCATGACGCGATGCTATGACTACTTGATTACATTCGCATTAACGCTCTCTTCGGCGTTCTGCCGCAAGGAGGCGTCGCCACAATGTCTCCACCGCTATCCTGTATGGCTTCGAGCTCACTGGAAACACTGTCACATCTACGAGGTGACTGACATCAGTATGCGACTTCGATGGGCTGACAAAGTTGCCATGCAGACGCTCGAAGCACTGCCGCTGGTGTTTGTGAAGACGTACATGTTTCTAGGCTTTGTGCTTACTGGCATGGCAGCATCGTCTGCGTTTTAACTCATCGGCCTTACTAACGTAATGGGCCGGTAATCCATTGCCTATTGGCTGTCAGTGTATGCTCGAAGGAGGACGCGAGACCGACGGACGGGGGAGGTGTCAGTCTTTGAGCTGTCATCGATGCCGACGACTGTGGTGCGGTTATCTTGTCGTAATGTGCCAATATCAGGCAATTTCGATCTGGTAATTTAAATGGGTGACTGCACTGTTGGTGTATTTGTTGATGGTTTTGTAGGTGTTGGTGTTGGTGTTGGTGTTGGTGTTGTTGTAGTAGTAGTAGTAGTAGTAGTAGTAGTAGTAGTAGTAGTAGTAGTAGTAGTAGTAGTAGTAGTAGTAGTAGTAGTAGTAGTAGTAGTAGTAGTAGTAGTAGTAGTAGTAGTAGTAGTAGTAGTAGTAGTAGTAGTAGTAGTAGTAGTAGTAGTAGTAGTAGTAGTAGTAGTAGTAGTAGTAGTAGTAGTAGTAGTAGTAGTAGTAGTAGTAGTAGTAGTAGTAGTAGTAGTAGTAGTAGTAGTAGTAGTAGTAGTAGTAGTAGTAGTAGTAGTAGTAGTAGTAGTTGTTGTTGTTGTTGTTGTTGTTGTTGTTGTTGTTGTTGTTGTTGTTGTTGTTGTTGGTAGCGGTGGCGGTGGTGGTGGTGGCGGTGGTGGCGGTGGTGGTGGCTGTGGTGGCTTGAAAGTGGAATGGATACAAGGGCCTTGGTATGACGTTCAATTGCCATGCTATGTCGTTTGCAAGTGACCCCTTATCGAGCACGTGCGCGCAAAGTTTCTCACTTAACTTGCGATAGCTGCTTGTAATGCGGGGACTGCTAGCGTGTGGCGTGCGCGAACATTATCTTGAGAACGCTATGTTGGGCGTCCACATCCTGGCACGCGACAGAAGAAGATTGCCATTCCGTTTCGTGCTGCGTATGTCTCGCCAGAGCGGTCGGAGTTCAGCGATCCTGATGTTTGTATCGTGTTCACTCTGCTCGTATATCACTACGCTAATTCGACGAAGGAGGAGGTCCTATGTGCTTTGCAGATGCTGTGGAGCTTGGACACCTCGAAACAGGAACATCGATACGATGGATGGTTTGCTAGTGTCGAGCAAGGCTTGAATGGCAATGACCGAATGGCTCTGTGCAATGTGCGGCATATCAGTCTTACCGACAGTCGACATTTCGAGACGTTGCGTCGAATCTGCTACTACTGTACTGCATGGAGGCGATAAATGTTCACCTGAACACCTTTTTTGCGAGGGCAGTATACATACGAGAGGCCACGGAACTATACGGTGATATCAGTAGTCTGAGCATGTCACTCCTTTGCACGATCAAAGTAGGGCACGTGTAACGTCGTTGTACTCGAGATTAAGTTCGTGGAGACGTGTGGGGGATCCACCAGCTTCCCCACACGTCCTATACTCTCAACCTCTCTGACGGCTTCGCAGCATAAGGAAAGCTGAGGGATGTACGATGCTCGGACGTTGACCGACTCTGACTACGCAAAAATAGCGTGCCAAGAATAAGCAGTAGATCGGCAACTTCTCCAAGGCACTCAACCGTTTTCAGAAAGAAGACCCGACGTTCCGCGCTTTTGTTGATGATGACAGCAAGGAGACAGTCAGAAGCGGTATGGGCGAGCTTCATCTGCAGATCTACGTGGAGCGTATGAAGCGTGCATACAGCGTGGACGTGGAGACTGGCTTGCCGCAAGTGAACTACCGCGAGACGATTCGCCAGCGCAGCGAGTTCAACTATCTTCATCAGAAGCAAACTGGCGGGCGGTTCGGGTCAATTCGCGCGTGTGGTAGGATACATTGAGCCACTTACGGACGAAGAGGTCGAAGAGCTTAGTAACGAGGGAAATAGCTCGGGCGTCGTCTTCGAAAACGCAATTATTGGCACGCGATTTCACCCGAGTACATCGCAGCTTGCTCGAAGGGCGTCAACGACGCAATCCAGAAAGGGTGGCTCATTGGTCACCCGGTGCAGCGCATGCGTGTGGTGGCCAATGACGGTCAGTCACACTCGGTAGATTCCAGCGAGCTTGCTTTCCGCACAGCTATGGTGCTAGCTATTCGCCAAGCGTTTATGAAGGCCAACCGTGGATCGTCGAGCCCGTCATGGCGTTGGAGGTGGAAGTGCCCAACGAGTTCCAAGGTACGGCCATTGCCGAGGTGAACCGTCGTCGCGGTCTCATTAACAGCAGCGATGCCGATGACATGCACGCGGTCATTAAGTGCGACGTACCACTGCAAAACATGTTTGGTTTCTCGACGGATTTGCGGTCATCCACTCGGGGCAAGGGCGAGCTCACGATGGAGTACAAGACACATGGCATTGTCATGCGTGACATGCAGGAGAAGCTGATGAGCGAGCACGAAAAGGCGCAAGCGGCTAAGAACAAGTAGATATCCGGGTGCTTGGATTTTGCTCGCTACGACATGTGCATAGGCGAACTCTGCAACGGTTGGCGATAGACAATGTTGTAGGATACCAGATAGAAGAGACCCGGTATTCAGCAACATGACAAACGAAGCTGATTCATGGATCTAGAATTTCCACAAGCACCATGTGTACGAACGATGGAGGTGCACCTAGTGAAAGGCGAGTAGTATGTTCATCGTTTCGGCCTGATAAAGAAAGACGTGGATTGCTGTAAGTCTTCACTATACCGACAGCTTTGTCGATAAAAGATCGACAAAGTCGCCCGGCAGTCATTCGATCTGGCGTCCATTTTGACTCGTTCCAAAATGACGCTGAGACGCGAGAAGGCCTCGATCTTGAAGATAAGCTGATAGAATGAAGGAGAGCAAAAGAATGAGATGGAATTCATTCAGCAAGAGCTGGAAAGCTCTTCCAACCTCTGGGTATAGTTTGGATGCCTACATCGTGTGAGATTGCGAATGTTAGGTAGTTGAGATGTTGAGTACGTACGTATTCAATGGAGCGTGTACGTAAAGGGAAGAAGTGGGCGTCGTAAGTGAATGTGACATGATGAGAGATATAACATCCCAATGCAGTACCTGCCAGAAGCTAGACGTTCACATGGTGCGGTAGAAGGAGACGCGACAGCAGCAAAGTTATTATACGGTAGTGTCAGTTTGTCAATTGCGGAGTCAAGAAGAGATGGAGTCCTTTTGAGGGCTTCAGAGACCATAAGAAGTAAATGTGAAGAATGCATTGATCTGCAAGCGTCGTTACTAATAACGTATATAACACATATCGCGAGTGATGACAAGACCACGACGCACTGCTTGATCAAGGACAGATGCACGGAGGTAGTCAAAAGAGGGAGTACGAGCTATCACCGAGCACAGGAAGTAGTGCACACATCGCGACTTGAGACCGACAGCAACATCCCGGCGATGTTGTTTATGGCACTTTGAGTCTACTAGCTCATTTAGCAACAATCCTTGTACGACGCTCGTTCCCGACAAAGATAGCAAGCACTCTCGCCATCGGATGCTGAAGAGCAAGGCGCGATGATACGATTGCCATTGTTTTCCACGACACGGTCGGAACAAATGCAAAGCAATAAGCTCAAGACAGCTCTCAACACCACAATTGATTTGAGGAATCGAAAGCGGGTAGAACACCGACAGGATGATCTTCCTGTACCCCATGTTCATTTCCGTATTATGAGACGGGATTGTTGACCGCCGCGCTCGAAAACCGCAATCCCTCCATATCGTAGATTCTGCCTTCCTCTTCGATGACGAAAAGTGATGACAAGGTCATGCAAGTGACGCACAGCTAGGAGGTGATTGTTCCCGGTGCGAACCGCGGACTGACACCATGGTAGAAGATGGTTCTTTTCGCCATGGACAAGAACGCACAGCGTCTGATCGACACTGGTGCGCTTCTAGCGGGTGTGACAAAGAGCAGGGATTGTGTTCTCCAGCAGCCCGGCTTTGTAGTTGCTGGAGCGATGTACTTTGGTGGCCGAAAGTAGCGCAGCTGCTGGATGATCGTAGAGGAGGTTCGGAGGATAAAAATGCCCAGGGAAAAGCCTCCAATGCTGGAGAAGGAGATGTATGTCAGTTTTGACGAAGTACGCTCGCGAGGGTCAGACATGAAGCATCTACAAGATGCATCCGCTGTTACAAGACTTGCACCAAATCTCACGAAGGACAAGTTGGTGCAAGGTGCAGGACGAATGAGGCATCTCGGATGCGACCAGCCGCTTTCGAGTGCAAGTTTCGACGAGGTGGCGCAGACAGTCCTACCAACAAGTGGCCAGCGATTGCGGGAAGATCGGACGCAGAAGAAGATGGAGACGATGAGGTGAATAGGATGAAGGTGACTAGGATGAAGACAGTGACACTATCGATAGCATCGATCCTCATGGAGGAACCGCAGACGTTGGGTAGCATACAGGAGGACAATTACGTAATACCTGGTGGCCAATTGTCCAGGTTGCGATTGCCACACGAGTTTGCTGTGGCAGAGGGCTGTTGCAAAAGACAATGGCGATGTTTGCGCTGAATTTGATGCATGTAGCTATGTGCAAGGCACATAGCAGTTTCCATAGCGGCGTGTGTATAAAAGTCGGGTGTGACGCCGTGGCTGACCTGTTTTACTTGCTGCAAGTTGTTATTCGAACCGACCGCTGTGAAGCTGTTTGAGCTCGGGTGTGATATTTCATCTTTCGGGCATCAGTCCATCGATATGCGAACGAGCGTTGATGCGCTCGTCAACATGTTGTGCGACAAGAACAGGTTGCGTTAGTGTCTACCAGCGTACGCAGCATTGCAGCAGCTCCAACAACTTCAAGGCCGAGTTCAAGCAGACGAACCCGATCGAGAAAAGTTCAAGAAGGCTGGAGCTAACACGGCGGAGCGCCACCTGCGTGTAGCGAAGAACCGAAAAGCATGCGGTGTCCCAAACCAAAACGGAGCGACGCGCAGTTTGTGCTCTTGGATCGAGTGGGAATAATCGACCAAAGCCTCGAAGTCGCACAAGTGTTTGTTCGCATCGCGGACGATCGACTCTTTTTATGTTTGCAAGGGTCGATGATACATCCGCCTGAACAAAGACGGCGTACATACATACATTGGTAAGTAGAGAGCCCTTGCGTTTCGGACGCATTGTGATTGGTGCGTTTCTGTGTTTCTTTTCGTCGAATCACAAGACGGGATGTGTCGCTGCGTTCGTCCGCGCGCTTTTTCGCGCTGTCGACCGACGCGAACGAGCGGGCGGTCGTCCTCGCAGAAGCGGCGGCTCGGGCGCTCTGCGTGCCCTCCTCGTCGGGTCTCTCGCGCCCCACTGCGACTGCTAGAGACCCACTTACCGCATGCAGTACGTCGTCCTCTCGGTCCTTTCCGGCGGCTGATTGGCGGCCGACGGCGTTGCGCAGCTCACGGACTCGAACGCTGGTTGGTCGGACGTGGCCCACCAGTCGATCCCTCACAAGGCGACTTGGCGGCGCTCTGGGGTATGGACGCGGAATCGCAGACGTTCGTGTGTGTCGTGTGGGCCGCCGCCGTCGTTGGCATTGGCGGCCTCCACCAGCGCTCGATGCGCAGAGGCCTCTTGTGCTGTCGGCCACGTACAGCTTAGACCGGTGAAAGAGCAGCTGCTGGAGGTACGGACGGCGCGACACTGCCGGACCAGACGCTCACGGAGCGCGTGCGACTCGTGTGCGAGAACTGCTTTGCGACGGTGGCCAGTGGCACTGCTTTTTGCACGGAATGTGGCGAATCGATGCCGTCAGGAGACGCGAATCCGGACGTGTGCATGTCGCAGTCGTAGATGCCGTCACAAGACGCGAACCCGAACGTGCGCATGTTGCAGGCGCAGACGTTGTCGGTCACGACGAAAGACAAGAGCCAAGCGCTGGAGCGGAGGCGGCAAGTAGCGTATCGCACGTACCTCAGCACAACGGCGTTCGTGGACCCGAAGCACGCGAAGGACGGCGGTGTGAGTATGAGGGACATTGATCGCAGTATCCTCTGGATGGACTCCGGCGTGCAAGGCCCGGACGGCAAGATGGTGCAATACTACGACTCGATTGCCGGGGTCCGCACTTACCACGAGCCGTCGTGTCAATCGGTCGCCACGTCGACGTACTTGATTGGCGAACCGAGCGGCGGAGCCTGTTGAGACGCCGAACATGTGCAAGTCCGAGATGTCGGGCAGTGGCATAACTCACGTGTTTTACTTTGGCACGGTGGCTAGGGGTGTTATCTGGCTGTACTGCTTGACGACGATGTACCCGCAGCAGTACTTTTGCTACCACGCGCGGCCTAGGCTACCTCGTCACACACATTGCCAGCCAGTGAGACGGACGGGTGTTTCAGCTCAAAGGTCAACTTTGACGCAGACTCGGACGATGGACGCTCTGAGCGCTGGACGCTCACGGAGCGCGTGCGACTCGTGGGCGAGAACTGCTTTGCGACGGTGCCCTGTGGCACTGCGTTTTGCACGGAATGTGGCGAATCGATGCCGTCAGGAGACGCGAATCCGGACGTGTGCATGTCGCAGTCGTAGATGCCGTCACAAGACGCGAACCCGAACGTGCGCATGTTGCAGGCGCAGACGTTGTCGGTCACAATGATCAGCAAGAGCCATGCGCCGGAGCGGAGGCGGCAAGTGGCGTATCGCACGTACCCTAGCACAACGGCGTTTGTGGACCCGAAGCACGCGAAGGGCGGCGGTGTGAGCATGATGTACAGTGACCGCAGCGTTCGTTGGATGGATTCTGGCGTGAAAGTTCCGGAGACCCAGGTGTCGTACATGCAGACTCCTGCAGACTTCTCAGTACGTGGAGTAGACGCCCCAGTTGACGGTCACGAATGATCTGTGCGGGCACAGGAATACCATTTTCGTTGACGCTGTGTGCAGCGTGGCCGTGATGGTTTCGACCCGGCATCTTTTGCTGGTACGAATGCTGTGTTCTGTCGCCAAGCCTTCGACTCGATAGGTGGCTTCCAGTACGGTATGCTCATACGGACGATGCGCTTGCGAGAACGTGGTTCACACTTCTGGTTGGGACTCGGTGTACTTCCGCAAGGATTTTAAAGAGCGATGCCAAGGACCATATCCGATTGTGCTAAGGTGCTGTGCCTAAAACAGAGGCTAGTGCTATGGTCTAGAAGAAGCGTTGGGCAAAGGGTGCTGTGGATATTCTGCTGATGCCAAATGGGCGCGAAGTCGACCCGGACTGGCGTCTGCCGCGCGTGCCTTCCTTGGACCCGAAGTCGTCCCTCACGTTCCCGCGCAAGATGTTTTTCTACGGCTCGGTGCTGTACCCGTTCGATTTGATTCCTGCTATGTGTTACGTGGCGATCGCCGTCTACTACTTGTGCACGGGAGACGCGCTGATCAACGCTCGTGGAACGAAGTTCCTGTACTCTTTCTAGCTCGTGACGTTGTGCCGTTGGGTGCTGAACCTGCCGGCCAACCGCGCAGTTGAAAACAACGACGTGTTGCGTATGCAGCAGGCATGGCTTTCGTTGTCGTTCATTACGATGATGACAATTTTGAGGCCGTATAGGCGCGTGTGACGGGGAAGGACAAGTCATGGGCAAACACGGGTGCTGGTCATAAGACGCCGTGGACGGAAATCCCGAATGTGCTTTTCTTCTTCACGCTGCTGTTTAGTCAGCTCGTGGCACTCGTTCGTTTCTTCAAGCACGAGTACGCGACGAATTCGTGGAACCACGTGTCTGCCATGTTCCTTGGCTTTTTCGTCATTAGCCAGTTGTACTCCATGGTCAAGATGCATTTTACCGAGTACAGCGGCTGGGACCATACTGCTGCCACCTTTACGGCGAACGTGTTTGGCTCGTTGCTCGTGGTCTACAGTGTAGTCTTCGTGAAGCTATGGCAAGTCGACTGCGCGGGCAATCTCCAGGTGGCCCACGGCATCGTAGCAGGCACGAATGACCCGGTGGCGGCGAAGACGAATTGGACGCACCGGATTGTGTTGCAAAGACGCGGATGGTGCTGCAAAGACGCGGATGGTGTTTGGCCGACGAGGAGCAGAAGGAGACACAGGATGCGATGCATGCCGAGCGCAGATGACGAGAAGCGGTGGTGTGGTCTATCTGGCGAGCCGGAGACGCGCTTGCAAGTGCGCGCTATCGTCGACGCTTTCCCTCTAGTGACTGGACATTAGCATACGTCAAATTGCTGTTGCCAGAGTCGGCTGACGTGGCTTGTTGGGTCATCTCGTAGTGGTGTCCGATGCGCATGTCAGGAAGCGCGTAGGAAGGCTGATTGCTACCATGCGATCGATAGCACGTCAGGGAAATGGTTTGACGAGCTCCTTTTACATCTTTATCGTTAGCATCGGCTGCCAAGAGGGTCTCCTGCTTGTTCAGCGTTGTCGGAGTCGCCAAGTAGCTGTACGTCGTGCTGCTACAGTGTGTCGCCACGGCCTTGAGGTGTCATTACAGTTTGACGTCGAAGCCGAGTTGTCGATCCTTGCGATGTGGGCACCGCTGTCCATCCTCTCGTGCACTTGTGTCTTGTCCACGCGTGGTAATGGCGCCAAATGGTATGTGTACTGGAGCATACGCGACGTTGGCCACCTCTGCTCGCCCGTCTTTGGTCGGACGGACGTGCAGTGAATCGTTACGTGTTGTGGTCGCACTTGTACTGAGGATGTAGGAAGTGAAAGTAATATATATTTTGAGAGTAAATTACAGTCGGTTGTTAACCATACCTTTTGCACTTGGTCCGATCAAGTTACACGTGGTACACGTTTAGCATGCCCATCAACATGTTCCGGCTGTAAACAATGTCGTCCGGATATCGCTGTCTCACTCATCAACTCCTCCTGATAGTCCGACATGACGACCCTCTTCTCTCGACCCATATGTCCACCAGTCACATCTTCGTCCTACCTGTCAGCTTATTATCCAACCAGGTGAGATCGCGACGTACCTGTAACAGGTCTTGCAGTTGAGCACTGGAACTTCGATGACCTGTCAGAAAGCATATCTGCTAACACATGCCTTGCTATGACGCTTTGCAAGGGGTACGAATGCCGCAGTATGCAGTATGAGACCCAAGAAGCTCGTGGAGCTTCTAGTCCTAGACAAAGGGACTGACAATTCTTATAATCAAGTTGCAACTAGTGCCCCAGTGCGCACGCATTTAGGAAGGCTCTTATTCCTACGATCAAAGGACGCCTCAACAAGGTACGTGTCACAGATTGACCAAAAGGGGCACTGATTCCTAGTTTATCGGAGATGACAAAACGCATACAAGTACACACCCGAAAGGTTTTACTACCTGGTCCAGAAATCCTAACATGGCTATTCCGAGAAGGATTGATTGTATTCAGGATTGCCGTCCACGTACTTCGATATGTACTGTACTGTAGGATGTCGATTTCATATCGGTGGTCCGGTACTACCACTTACGTATTGCCCCAACACGATTACGCCTTCCAGGTCCACTGATCTGTGTGTATATATCTCACAGCACTACCGGTTATCGCAACCGTCGCATGACCCTGTTCCATCATACGTAGCTCCCCGGCTCCCTGCTTCTCCTATGCATGTATCTTACAAAATGTACAGCAGATCTGCTACAGTAGCATGCTCAGCGTGTCTACTTGCGTTATTTCGGTCGCCAGTGGCTGTAGCTCGCCGAGTCGAAATCGGGGAGTTTGATACAGTCATGTCGCCGAGATTCGACGTAATCAGTTATAATCAACGATTACGGATCCCAAACAGTCAATTTTGTTACACGAAGGTCACATCGTAAGCTTCCAACAGCGCCGACACCACCTGCCTGTTCGTCAGTATCTTGTTCCTCACATCGAATCAAACAGCTGGCTTCTTACTACCCAGAGCCTCCCTTCTCGTTCTTTTGCAGCTTATTCCACGTCAGTACGCTCCGAGAGGCCAGCTACGGGATTCAGCGACTTACTGAGGGGTCACTAATTCTTTCTTGACTTCTTCCTTCTGTATGCTCCGGTGTTTCGCCAGTGCAGTTGGCACAAGAGCAGTCATTGATACCATTTCCGGCTTATGATTTGTCATGTGTCTTCTCTTGGTTGGCGGACGACGGGCTGACACCGTAGTTGATGTCAACCGATCGAAAGAGGACTATTGCTAGCATGATGTGCAGTAAGAAACGTGTTTGTTTACAGTCTTGTCCTCGAGTGTAAGACCAGACTACTCGAACGGTGTCACCCGATTGTCAGTGGAAGTGAACGACTGAATGTGAGTACCGCGTCGCGAAGTCGCGGTACAAGCACAGATGTGGGCGACTCGGCACTCGCACGCGTTTCTATTTGTATACAAAGCACTTTATGAGCTGGGCTCGTAATTTCAGTACAGTCTTTACCCGCACACGTTGTAGTCAGGTTGCCGAGGTAGCCGTCGTACGACTAGCAGGTACCGGTTGAGAAGCGGTAGAACCCGCGGGCAACGGTAAGCACCTCGCGCGCCTAAACACCGCGACGCTGACCCGCGTTCGGTTTACCGACCGCGGACCCCACCCCACCGCCCAACAATCGGTAGGCTCTCGCATTCGCGCTGATCAAATCAGACAGTCCGTGGGTGAGTGAGCCAATTGACCCACGTGACAACATGAACGCAGCGGTCCCTCCGACGCCGAGCAAACCGACGCCACTCGACGGCGCGGCAGTCGACGACATTGCACCGGCGTCGCTGCTCCCGCGTCTGCGTCGGAAAGGCTACAAGTTCTCATGTACGCGTTCGCGCCTCTGCCTCCTCCTTGACCAGTGATTGGCTCACTTGTCTGACTCACGCTGTGCGAACGTCTTTGCGGGCGGTGCGGTGTCCCCATTGGTGCGCAGCGTACGCGCGAGAAGATCACGGCAACGCGCTGTACTGCGTCACGTTCTGCGACGTGTTGCCCCTGTACGAGCGCATGTTTGCCGTGGCTGGAGGCAACCGGGTACGATGCCGGAAAAAGAAAAAGAAGAAGTGGAGGAGGAGGAGAAGTGGCAGATGCTGTGCTTTGGTTACTGTGTGCTCTGAGCATCGACTGCTTGACCGACGGTATGGCTGTTCTCTCATTGCTGCGTTTAGCTGACAGTGTACGAGTGCCTGGAGAACGGCGGACTGGACGTGATCCAAGTGTACTGCGATGGAGACCAGGACGAGCAGTACTTCACGGCGGGGTGGACCGTGGATGTGCTCACGGGGTCGCCGCTGCTAGCAGCTGCGGGCTTTCGCGGCCACATCAAAGTGATCAACTGCATCACGCAGTCGGTGGTTGTCGTGCTGTCTGGACACGGCAACTCGGTGAACGAGCTCAAGTTCCACCCGGTCGACCCGAGTCTGCTGTTCTCGGCTGGCAAGGACGAGTCCATTCGTTTGTGGAACTCGCTCACGGGCGTGTGTGTGGCCATCTTTGCCGGTCACGTCGGTCACCGCGACGACGTGCTGAGTGTGGACGTCCATCTGAAGGGCTCATGCTTCGTCTCATCTGGCATGGACAACACTGTCAAGATCTGGGACCTCGAAGACGAGGTGGTCCAGACAGCAATCAAGAAGTCGTACACGGAACCTCGCCCCGCAACGCGTCCGTTCGACACCAAGTTCATCCAGTTCCCAGCGTTCTGCACGAGCAAAGTGCACGCAGACTACGTGGATTGCGTGCGCATGGTGGGCGACTTGATCCTGTCCAAGTCGACGGGGAACAAGGTGATCTTCTGGAAGCCGAACCCGTCGCGAGGCAAAGACGCTGTCACGGTCTTGCGCGAGTACCACTACAAGGACGCCGACCTGTGGTTCATGAAGTTTGGGCTCGACACACAACTGGAAGTGATGGCGGTGGGCAACAAGAAGGGCGTCGTGAGCGTCTTTGACGTGGACGCCGAGCAGGAGCGTTCAGTGTGCAAGTTGACCCACAACAGCTGCAAAAGCACAGTGCGCCAAGTGTGTTTCAGCAAAAGTGGCCACACGATCATCACGTGCTCGGACGACGCGACCGTGTGGCGCTGGGACCTGCCGTAGAGAAGTAAGTGCGTGTAAGCAGCAGCTGTCAATGGACATACACATACACACGATGAGCAACGTGAGATGGGTGGACAACTACCGTAGCCATCCGCGTATTTCCGACAAGAGACGACCCTTTTTTCAGTAGCGCGGACCAAAAAGAGACCCAAATACCCGACAAAGTCCATGGGCACGAAGCGGAAAAAGGGAGACGAGGTGGCGCCGCCGCACGTCTCGAGTCTCTTGTACGCGGCCGCTGGGCGCCCCCCGCGGTCCACGACGACGTCACAATCGAATGCAGCGGGTGCGTCCACTTCACGCCGCTTCGGCTTCAAAGGGCCGTCGATCTCGCAGCTTCCGACGCCAGTTGTTCCATCTGCAGCCTCGACGTCTACGGCGTTGACCAGAGCAAAGCGGCCCCGCGTCGCATGTGCGTCGCAATCAGCAGGTGGAGAAGATGGGACGACGGAGACGACAGGAGACGCAGTCGAGCGGACGCTGTCGGTCGATGTGGATGTCCACGTCCTGGCGCAGTTTGACGAGCGCTTTGGCAAAGAGACTGTGGCAGCGCTGGAGCAGCTGCTGGCGTTTCGTCACAAGACGAACAAATTTGCAGTCAAAGCGCGAAAAGAAGAGCAGATCGGCTACATTAAGCAGCTGAAGGCTGGCGTGCGCGACGTGCTGACCAAGGTACCGCAACGCAGCAACAAACGCAGTCTAGAACGCGGTGTACTTGCTGACGAGATACTGTCTTTTGTGTGTGTGTGTGCGTTTTCGTGTCGATGGCAGATCGAAGAGTTTGGCAAAACGTCGGCGGCAATCGATGAGAAACTCGTGGCGGAGAAAGCGACTCTAGAGACAAAGGTGGCAGTCTTGCAGCAGGCCGCAAGAAACAAGGACTGCTCGGAAGCTGAGTTGAAGCGGCTGCGGAAAGAGCAGGACATGATGCAGAAAAGCATTGGACGCATTCGTGCGTCAGAGCAAGAGGCTGTGCGCAGCAACGCTGTACTGCGGGACAATGCAGCCAAGCTAGAGATACAGCTTGAAGAGACCCAGAAAGTGAACGAACAGATGCAACTAACGTTGAAAGCTCACGAAGCACGCGTAGTCGACGAATCGCATCGCTTTGAAGAAAGAAAGCGTGAACTGGAGCAGTTGCATGAGAAGAGAGTGCAGGAAGAGAGCAAACGTACGCAGGCCGAGGTGGAAAAAATGCAAGAGCAGCTCGGCAAGACTCGTGAAGAGCTTGCTTTGGTACACAAAGATATCAACAACTACAAGGACAAGGCTCTTGAAGCTGCAAACAGCCTCAACGACGAGCGTGAACGACGCATTAAGTCCGAGATGGAGAGGTGCACTCTTGAAGCAACGAATCAGTCGTTGCAGGCTCGTGTCAGCATCGCAACGAGCGAAGTGGCAGAACTGAAGGAGAAGCTGCAGCACAAAGACGAAGAGATGTCGAATCTTGTCAAAAGCTTGACTGACATGCAGAAGTTTAACGCGTCTGCAAGCACAAAAGTTGAAGCCGATAAAAGAGAGCTTGCTGACAAGATCGAGCAGCTTCACGCGACCATCCGCGATCTCGAGCGACAGGAGTCGTCAAGCTCTACAACAGCGCGCGACCTTAGCAAGCAACTAGAGGTACGCAACGTTTTGCTCTCGTGGAATTGTTTGCCTAGCTAAGTTGCAGCTGTGTTCATGTTGATGTTGTGAAGTTGGCAGTACAGTCCCAGAAAAAGGCGGAACAGAGTGAGCAAGCAATCTGTGCCCGGATGAAGAAGCTAGAATCGGAGCTCAACTCGAACGTGCAAAAGGTGGGTGTAGAAGGGGGTGTTCGCCAAATGCTCGAGAACCAAGTGCGCGAACTCCGGACAGAACACATTGCTGTGAATGCGCAGCTGGAAGCAGTGAAGGCAGAGATGACGCGGCTCCAGTCCGCAAATGCAGACTCAAGGGAGCAGCACGCTTCGCAACTTGGTGCCCTGAAAGCAACGTTCCAGCAGGAGAGGGACGACTTTAGGTACCAGATTGATGAGCTGCAAGAGGAGAAAGTCAGCTTGGAAAGCGAAGTACAGACCTTGCGAACGCGAGTCTCGTCAGCTCGTGATGGAGATGTCGAGGAGCTGTGTAAGGTGCAGCGTGAGGCCGATGTTTTGCGCCGGCGTCTGGGCGAGCTGACAAGTCAAGGCGCTCAATCGATTGCTCAGAAGGATTCCATGATCTTGGAATTGCAAGAGAAAATCAAGCAGGGTGACAAACTGCGAAGAGCGATGCACAACACTATCCAGGTAAGACTACTACGGCGAAGTCTAGTGCATGTCATGGTCTAATCTGCGTGCTCTTGTCATCGATGTCGTAGGAACTGCGTGGAAACGTGCGAGTGTTTGCCAGAACACGTCCATTCCTGCCCTCTGACCGCTGCGATCCGAATACAACAACCCCTGTCATTTCGTGTGAGTTTGACGGGGTAAGCCTGAAGTTGCGTCGACCCGGAAAGAATCCATCAGAGCCGGACACGTTTCCATTCACGTTCGACAAAGTGTTCGCTCCTTCTTCGGGCCAGGACGCAGTGTTTGAGCAGGTCTCAGAGTTTGTCCAGTCTTCGTTGGACGGATATCATGTCTGTCTGTTTTCGTATGGCCAGACCGGTTCCGGCAAAACACACACGGTAGGGATACTGAGCTTTTGCTTTGGTATGTTGTTGCTGATGTTTACGCGTGCTCTGGGTAGATGCAAGGAAGCGGTAATGGCCAGATGCGCGGGATCATTCCGAGGGCAATCGAAAAGATTCTGCATGAGTGTGAATCATTGAAGCACGAGGGATGGGACTATGCCACGAAAGTGTCGTTTCTGGAAATATACAACGAAAGTCTGAAGGATTTGCTAGCCACGAAACACAACAGTGACGAAAAGCTTAGTATCAAGAAAGATGCGAAGGGGGGCGTGTATGTTCCAGGATTGACAGTTGTGGACGTCACTTCGACGGAACAAGTTGAAGAGCTCATGGAACGCGCGAACAGAGCACGACGTGTGGCACGTACGGACATGAATGCGCAGTCGTCGCGGTCACACAGTGTGTTCACATTGCACTTGCAAGGCGTGAATGACAAGGGAGGCGTGATGCTGAATGGTCAGTTGAACCTTGTCGACTTGGCTGGCAGTGAACGTGCTTCTCGCTCCAACGTTTCGGGTGACCGTTTGAAGGAGACACAAGCGATTAACAAGAGTCTCAGCTGTCTGGCCGATGTCTTCAATGCGATCGGAAACAAGTCTTCACATGTAAGTACGCTTGTATCGGACATGCTTTGACATCGCATCGTACTGACTGTGTGTGCCTCCGCTACGCCGCAGATTCCGTTCCGCAATTCGAAGCTGACGTACTTGCTCCAGAGCAGCCTGTCTGGTGATGGCAAGACACTGATGATGGTCAATCTATCGCCAACGCTGGAATCAGCAAGCGAAAGTCTATGCTCGCTGCGATTTGCAAAGCAAGTAAACCAGTGCGAGCTGGGCAAACCAAGACGGCAGATCAAGTCCAGGAAAGACGGCCCGTGAACAGCGAGCGGATACATTGTATGGTGTACCACAAGGCGACAGCGTGATGCTGGGTGTAGGTTATGATGAGGCGCAGGTACTCGGCGGCTGGAAAGCGAAGACCGCATTTTGGTTCGAGCAACGCGGAGCGCGGACGAGGGTGTCGGGCTTTTATGGTCACTCCGTGTGTTGCATCGCGATGTGGACCACGAGGGAAAAGGAGACGAAGGCGCAAATGGTACGCAGAGCAACTGTGTAGATGTTAGGACGTGCTCGTATTGTACATACTATCGTGGCACTTGGTCGTCCATTGGAATCGATGACGACGGCGCGGAGGGAGAAAAGTGCTGATTGCAGAGGGACAAGCCAAGCTTTCTCGGATTGCGAAGCAGTCGCTCGCAGATGCAACTGGCTGAGCACTTTGCTGTGCAAACGCTCTAGAGGCAGTGGGGCCGGCTGGCAAAGCCGTGAGCTTGAGCACAAGGAACGAGACATGATGCGGCGGTAGAAGCGCATGCAGAAGACGCTGTTGCTCAAGGCAGCAGCAATGTACCGAAGACCACCAACACGACGCTTTGCGACAGACCCGTTGTGGCTTGTGCATGAGAGAGGACGACCAACGGGTGCAGCGATCCGGTTCCGTCCGTCCGCAGCGAAGAGCCAAGTGCACGACTTCCGACCGGCAGACGTCTCTTTGGCCGACATTGACAACCGTCGCAGCCAGTCGAGCAGCTGTGTCCGTAGCGCCTGCACGTTGCCAGAGCTGTGACGAACGTCGTGCCACACAATCGTCGGGGAGGTCCGTTGTGTCGAGCAGATGTCTCATGTGGGTACAATGTCAAGACGTGACTCGAAACGAGCGGACGTCCGCTCTTCATCAGTCCGACGTCGTACCTGCGGTTGAGGTGGCACGTCCGAAAGGACCTGATGTGTCCGTCGATGCGTATACATAACGAAGAAGCACGAGGTGTATGTATACTCGCGACGATAGCGCAGCAAAGCGAGACGGATCGAGACGGATCGAGACGGATCGATGCCATTCGTTTGCTCTAACGAGGGGATTGGCTCGCACGAGCGCGTCCCTTTGGGGCTCCACTGCAGTATATCAAATACAGTCCCTTATCCTCTCGTCCGCCTTATACCGAAACACGCCAAGCGACACGGCCCGACCGCTCTTCCCGCTCCTGCCATGTCGCCGCCTCGCCGCAGCGCCAGCAGCAGCAGCTCGGGCAAAGGCCGCGGGGGGCGCGGGGGACGAGGCCCCGACCGCCGTCTCCTCGTCGCCAGCGACAGCGCCAAGAAGCGCAACAGCAGCAGCAGCAGCAACAGCAGTAATAGCCCCAGCACCAGCCACAAGCGCAGTGGACGAGGGGGGGCGTTCCCCGCTGCTGCCGCCGCGTCCACTGCCACGTACGCGCGGCCCATGCGCGCCGTGACGACCGTCTTGAAGAAGCTCGTGGTGCGCAACATCCCGCCGGCCGCGTCCGAGCCCGAGGTCCGCGACTTTTTGCGCGCCCACGGCGTCGACCTCGAGTTTGTGTGGCTCTTTGTGCCTGGCCGCCAGCGCAGCACCAAGCGGCCGTCGACGCCGGGGCGGCTGTACTTGGACATGAAGAAAGAGCCCGAGAAGGCCACGAAGATCATTGCTGCGCTGCACGGCCAGCCGTTCGCTTCCGACGCCGTGGAGAAGGACGTGGCCGCCAAGCCACTGGACGTGGAGTTTGCGCCGTTCCAGCGGATCGCGCGCGAAAAGCAGCGCAGCGACGCCAAGACGGGCACGATCGGCCGCGATCCCGACTATATGGCGTTCCTGGAGGAGCTGTCGAGGCCGAAAGACGTGAGTAGGGGCTTTTTGTGTCGACGATGCTGTGTGGCAAACGAGACACGATGCTGAGTACAGTGATGAATGGATATGGCGTGGGGTGTGTCGTGGTGCTGCTCGTGCGTAGAAACTACCGAGTGCTGAAGCAGTCGTCGACATGGCCGAGGGCGAGACGGTGGAGAAGCCAGTGGCGGCGCTGGTCAAGTACCTGAACGAACGGAAGACCCACAGTCGTGAAAAGGGCAAAGTGAGTAGTTGTCGCTCCCTTTTGTTTGTCGCTATCTGCCGATCGGTTGGTGACGTGTGATTGCAATGGGTATGAATGAACACGAAGCGAAACCGTGCTGCTGCTATACAGGGGAAACCGGGAGGCAAACCGCTTGAGAAGAGCGAGCGTCGGCAGAAAGGAAAGAAAGAGGTGAGGCTCGTGTGCTGGAAGCGTGTGGACCTACTTGATAGGCGATACTTGCTGGCTCGATGCTGGCCTGATGCTAAGACTGCTTGTTTTCGTCCAGGTCGCCAGGAAGAAGCCCACAGAGGACAAGCTCAAGCCTTCGAAAGACCGCCAAAAGAAAAGTAGCAGTGACGCAGCTGGTGCTCAAGGTACGAGTGCATGTCGGATAGAGTACGCTGCATCTAGTGTGCTGACGGCATCTTGTTGTAGACCCTAAGAACCGCAAGCAACGCGGAAAAGCGTCTCCGAAAAAGGGCCCGGCGAAGCAGGAACCGCTCACAGCAGAGCCTGGCGTGCTGCGTATCATGACTCCTAAGCCTGGTGCTGCCGCTGTTGATGCTGCTTTCACTCCCGCGATCACGGCAAGTGGGCGTGCACTCTCTACCAATGCTCCCATGGAATGTGGAACGGAGAAGCGTGCGCCTAAAAGCGGCAAGAAGAGTGGCGGACGTGGACGCAGCAACGTGAAAAAGGCGGTTGATGGGGTCAATGTGGCTACTGGCGAAGGAACTAGTTCGAAGCCTCCTTTGCGTCTCAAAGGCAAGATTGGCAGCAAGAAGGAGCCGGGTAACAAGGGCGAACGGGTAAGGGAAGAGGATGTCGTGTGCTCGATTGCTTGCTGTTGACGTTCTAATGCTCGCGCGTGCTGTGATTCTAGAAGACAAAAGTGTTTGCGCCGAAGGACTCGACGTCGCAAGGCACACCTTCCAAAAGCTGATCGCTGCATGGTCTGATTGAGGGAAGTCGCTTTCTGACCGTACAATTGGTGACCCAAACGACACAACAGAACTGCAGCAGCCGAGTGCGATGAGCAGACGCTGCGAAAGATCGGGGAGGGGTGGCACAATGAGGTTAGTGCGGTCGATGCTCAAGACACAAACGCACAAACAGGTGGCAGCGGGTATGTCGGTGATCGGAAGACGGACCCGGCCAACAACGAGAAAGCAGCGAATTGGGTCGACCGAGATCGTTGCCGCTCTTGCTTCGGGCTGTCAAGGGACTGGCATGGTATGTTGTCTGCGGTCGGAGTGCCGGGTGTCACGCGGGTAGGAGTTTGTCCCGAATGGCAGAAAATAAGCAGAGCAGAAAGCAAGCTGCGTGACAGATGTCCAGCAGCATTCATGGACTGGTGAGACTATTCTAGGAGACGGCAATGCAACGCCTCGGTGGAGGCTGTTCTCTCTGTAGACGCGCATCATGTGTTTTGCTATCGTGGTGGTTTGCTTTCGGACGATGGTGCAGGTGCGAGAATATTGGATGGTCAAGCTCCTGTTCCAGGTAAGCGCTTGTCTGTGGGTCGTTTGGTCTCATCGCCTACTCGTGGACGCTGGTCTCGGTCGCGCGTACGTATGTCGGCATGTAAATGTGAATGGTCGAGTAGCCTGTTTCGAGACGAAGCTGTTGCTGAGGCGCGACGAACATGCTGTCTGCAAGTGCAGGATACCATTGGCCGCACGAAGCTGCGCTTGTATCTTTCCGTGTCCATGTAGCTCTGCTGTGTTACAACATCACGGACGCTGAGCTATTCAGCAATGTCGAAGCCCACAGCGAAGCTCGACGCAAGCAGCAGAGACCACTGCACGAGGGGCGCTGACTACGGCGACGAGCAAACTCGAGAGCGCATGTACGTGCGCACGTATGAAGCAGCTGCGCGAGATCCACTCCTCACAGAAAGTGACACGTTGCACGCACGATCGCGAGTCGCTCTTCTCGGCTGCCATTGAGGAAAGCAAGTCGCAGCAGCTCCTCGCTCCGCAGCTTGTGCACAGTTGCGGTAAAGGCATATAGCCGCGGCACGATGACTCCAGTCCAGAGATCGCCGTTCGCCGACGCAGGCAGACGCAGCGGTGCAACACCCATCGACACGCGTGATACCCGAATCGTTGGACGAGGGGCGGCGCCGTGAACACACTGCACCAAGTCCCCGTGCTCCACCTCGAGCATTTTCATGTAGACAGCCAGTTGGATGTGGTCATAGAGGGGAAGAGGGTTCCGGAACCCCCGCACGCGGTTCTTGACCTCGACCACGACAGGCGTCAGCTCCCACTCGTCGTCTGCTGAGATCGTCAGCGCGTCAGCGACACCGTCCACCATACCGCAGATGGAGAAATAGCCATCAGGAGACCGCTCTCCTTCCTCCGTCGTCGTCGCCAAAGCCGTAGACTCGGGCGGCCGGTTCGACGCCCGTCGTTTGCGGATCACTGTGCGCTGACTTTGCGCTTCTAGCAACGAGTAATCAACAGGAGCGTCGTCTTCTGCTGCGCCTTCCGTGCTGCTCGTCTTGACCGGAGGAGACGGGTACGTGAGGAAATAGAAATGCTCGTTCGTGAGCCGCACTGTGGACCCAGTCTGCCGCTCGTACGCCTACATGGGCAGAAGACACCCAGCACGACAGCACTTGTCAGTTCCATGACGTCTCTCGTCTCTCGAGCATCAGTGGCATCCCACATCAGCAGCAGTAGTGTCAAGCAGCAGCAGCAACAGCAGCACACGGCACCTTTAGCGCCAGCGTCTCGTTGCGGGTCCCAACGCTCGTGTGGATCTTCTCCGCCAGCAACTTGCGCACCTCTCGTATCTCTTCGCTCGCGAGTTTCTTGCTCTTGTGCGCTTCGGCGAGTCGCTTGTCCACGCCGGCCAACAGCCTCTGCGCTGCTCCAACGCGGGCGGGCGTCGATCGGTCCTGAGCCCAGCGCAGCGCTGCTCGAAGCTGTGGCGCTGCTGCTGCTCCGCTCTTGCGCACGAGCTGCTCGAGCTCGTCGTCCTTCGACACGAGACGCAGCTGTAGCTTTGCTGCGTCGCGGGCCAGCAGCTCGTCCCGGTCCTGGTACACGCCCTCCAGCAGCTCTTCCACCACGTCGCCAAAGTCGTGGAGACCCGTCACGAGCGCCACCTTTGACGCCGAGAACCGGAGCACGACCATCTCTTCTGACGCAATGGGCACCGACAGTAGTGGCCGCGGACCTTTTGAGGGTCGAACTGGCTACAGTCGGCTGAAAACCCGTCGCGCGAGCCGTTTCCACCACCCGTTCCATGGGCAAACGACTCTATGGGACCAGACGCTTCCAACGCGCGCAAAAAGCTGTGCGTGACGCCATCGCTCGGACGCGGCGACAAAAACCAGATGATGCGCTGCTACGTGTATCGGAGCAAACGAACAGCACTGCTGCATTGGCACGTGATCGGGCAACTCGACGCGGTCGGCAATCGCACAATGGAAACGGTCATGAGCTCTTGACAGCACTTGAAGTGTCGTTCACGATCCGTGGACGCACCAAAGATATCTGCTCATGGCGCAGCGTTCTTGTCGCCAGCACGACATCCTCCAGCGTTCAGTCACCCGCCGTCGCAGGTCCAACGTCTTAGCACGCGATGGCAAAGTGATCGCAGGCCGTCTCCAGCCAAGCTGAAGCAGTGTCTGCTACCACTTGCTATCCCCTGCAGCGAAAGGCTCTGGCTGAATTGCAACCGATCTGCTTTGAGACAGCGCGGCACCTCAGCCTCAAGTGTGCCAGTCAACGCTTCTCTTCTCCTGTGTGGCGGCGTTGTGGGTGAAGAGGCTGTTGTACTGCACTGCAGCTGCTGGCATCGACACTCTCTCGACACGGTGCGTGACCGACCCACGTGGCCTTCTTGCGTGTGAAGGGCGGCCCATGTGCAGAAGCCCAATGCTATCCCGATGCCAAACGAGAGTCTCTTGCTTGCTCTCTGGTGCGTATGCCAAGTGCTCATGCGATGACATCCCTCTTCCCTTTTGCCAGCACTGTTGGTGGCATCTGTCACAGCTTCGCGTCCTGGAGCTGAGTCGCCACTACTCGCACACTTAGTCCAACCTTTCGGCTTCTTGCAAAACCGCTGGGCCAGAGTCCTCGCAAGGATGCTCCAAGTCAGACAGCTCCAGTCTACTGCGGACCGCAGGAAGGACCGCCTGCCGACTCGGACAAGCTGCAGTCATTGCAATGTCTGCAGACGTCCCAAGCTCGGCGATCTCACCATCACCCACAGCCAGAACGCGTCCCACCGCATTCAGCAAAGCTGTTACTCGAGCCTGGACAGACTGCGGCGACGATACAGCAGACGGTAGTAGCACTACAACGGTTGCAGCGCAGAGCTCTTCCTGTAGCACACGTTGCAAGACATTGAGTGTCGTATCGTCGAGACTTGCATACGGCTCCGGCTCCGGTTGGCACTCATGCTCAGGTGACAACAGTAGCACAGGAGCTAATGCCAGCACCACCACCGACGGCTCACTCAGCAGTGCACGAGCAAGGCTCAGCAGGAGTCGCTTGGCAGGGTCTTGTTGCAGATCAGCAATGCCAGGCAGCAGTCCATCTAGTGTAGCCACATTGCTCGCAAGTCCCACAGCACGCAGCGCAGCCCACAGACGCTCGTCCTCGATGTCAGCCCCGCTCGGGTCAAGCTGCGTACGCACCAGACCATCGTACAAAGCACCACTGGGCGCGGCGGCTGACACACAAGCCACACGAGAGCGAAGCGTGTGCACGTCCAACGTAGAAATGTCCACGCCGTCTACTACAATCCGCCCGGCAGTCAACTCGTGCACACGTAGCAGTGCGCGGCCGACCGGAGAAACGACAGCGCATGACTCGAAAATGGCAGCTTTCTCTCCTGCCTGTAAGCGAAACGACACGCTTTTTAGAGCCAAGGGCGGCGCGCCACCATCACCAATCTCGAACATGTCTGTAATCTCCACATTGGTAGCTGCCGGGTCGCGAAAACTCACTGCGTCAAAGCGCACATCGCCCTTCGCGGGCCACGACAGTGATGGACTGGCTGCACTTTGCACGGGTGCAAACGGTGTTGACATGCCACTTGCCGCCGCAGTCGAGTATGCTGTACTCTCCGTGATCACTTTCACCCCTCGCACAGCTGCCTGCATTCGGGCAGCAATTGGCAGGACCGGGCTCAGCCAAACCCACATCCGCACGAGCGCCTCCAGCGCACCTCCATCGACTACCAGTGCTTCGTGCAGAGCGAGCGCCAGCGTGCCAGTGCTTAGCGTGTATCGCAGCGCCAGAAACGACGAAGACGCGACGACCCCGACGACGACAGCGCCGTATACCTGGACGCGCAATGTGAGCCATTCATCGATGTGCAGGCCGAGGTGACCATTACGCGCAGCAACATCTTGCAGCCAAAAGTGGTGGCCCAACACACGGTTCACATGTGCCAGTCCAAAAGCGCGGATCACGCGGGCACCCAGAATCGACTCCGTTACATGTAACTGAGCAGCACGTCGCACTGTGCGCTCCAGGTGAACGAGATCACGGGCTGGTCGCAGGTACGACCTGGCCGTGTGCACGTACACGTACAATACTGGAGCAATCAACACTGCATAGTACCGTGTCACCGTCGCAGCAGTCAGCAGCGCAGTCAAAGTCGATGCTCCAAGTGCTAGTACCGCCCCGACGGCAAGAGGGAGTCTCACACCCATGTCGGTGAGATCCGTGCCTGTGAAAGCCCGCTCGAGCTTACGTCTTCGGGCGAGACTGAGTCGCTTTGACCGGACCTTGCCATTCCCACAACCGAAAGCATCGAAGAAAGCCAGAGGGGCCTGGAGAAACGCGAAGGCTAATGACGAGAAAGCACGACGCGCTCCCCCGACTGCCACCACAGCAATAACCAGCGCATAGCCGAAGGCGATGAGCACGCCACCCAACGCCAATGAGACGTAGACGAGCTGATCCACCGCCATACTCGTGTGGCCGCGAGAGCGCACCCAGTACGCAACCCACACCTCACTCAGCAGCTGCAGAGCGTGCCAGAAGACCAGTAGCACGAAAAGAACGACAGCTAGGGGAGCACCACCGATCGCGCGCGCGTACGCCCGAGCCGACTTGCCCAGTCCTTCGCTCTCATGTTCACTCCACTCCGCTTCTGCTGCCGTTTCGCACGAAAGATACTCGCGCAACGGTCGGTCGCTCAACGAGTTGCGAGTCGTGTTGACAGCATTTTCGATAGACAGCTGCTCAGTGCCCGCTAGTTCTTCGACCGGTAAACTCCGTGACGCGCTCATGCTCGCACAGTCTAACTCAGTCGTAGAGCAGTGCGCGCCACTCTCCACATCGGCCTCTTCGCTTTCCACGCTGCGTCTCTTGTCCTCGCCTTGTTCTTCACGGCCTTTGTCTTCATCGACGTCGCGGATGTGCACGAGGCGGCCGCCGTCTTCAAACCGGATAGCGTCGTCAACAAACTCCGAATGAATAAACTCTGCGCGCGTGGTAACGACTACCCGCGTCTTGTTGCGCAACAGCCCTGACAGGCACCGGTAAAAGGTTTCGCGTGCTACATGTTTGGAGCAGCGTGCCAGTGGTTCGTCAAGAAGATACACTGCGGCATCGCTGTAACAGGCACGCGCTAGGCTCACAAGCGCTTGCTGTTCCGGAGTAGGCATCCACTCTTCAATTACAGTGTGATCTCCAGCCGATAACACTGCGAGTGGGCTCACGAGCGCGCACGCGTCGAGCACGAGTTGATACTTGCGACGGTCGAACGGGAGCCCGAACAGCACATTATCGCGCACCGACAGCGTTCGTTGCAGCCACGGCTGTTGCGGACAATACGCCACAGAGCCGCCAACATATACACGGTTACTTACACCGTCGCTTCCAGCACGCGCTTGCATTTCGCCCAACAGTGCCGAGAGAAACGACGACTTGCCACTACCAGGACGTCCGTGAACCAGGAGAAGCTCGCCAACACCCACTGTCAGATCCAAGTGCTGAAAAAGCACCGGACCACTGCTGCCCCATCCCAATGTAGCGTCCTCGACCGCAACGACGACATCTCGTGCATCGTACTTGGCGACCACACCCAGGCTGTCGCGTCGAGCTACAGCGTGCGGGTTCAGTTCATCCTGGTCGATAAAGTGAGACAGATCGCGAAGGGACCGCCAAGCGGTTCGAGCACTCAGCACCGCTTTGGGCAAGACTCGGAGTGGTGTCTGCATGAGACGCACAAGCGCCAAAGTGGCAACACCTGATGCTGCGGTGAGAGAGCGCGCGGACGAGTAGTACCCCACCGCTAGTGCCGCAGCGGTCACCAGCACCGGCGTCGCAAACTGAAACGCAATTCCAGCGGCACACCGCACCTGGAAATCCCACAAGGCCGCAAGTTTACGTCCTCCAGTGGCATTCACACGTGTTACAGCGGCCGACTCCCACGCGTGTAGTTTCACGGCAGGCATAGTATGCACCGTATCCATCGCCGATCGTTGCAGCTCCTCTCGTGCTTGTCGCAGTCGATCCAGTGACTGAAGCTGCAGCTGTGTCAACAGACGAGAGACCAGCAACGTACTGACCACGAGGGCCGCAGTAGCTGCGCATGCAGCCGCACCAACGCATCTTCCAATTCCAGCCAACATCAACGCTACAACGAGCGGCATCACCCAGACTTCGTGTATACACGCCACGCCTTGCAACAGCTGCATCACATCGACAGTACAGAGCGCGTCGACTTGTTGAGTCGAGACGTTCGGCAGCCGCAGCGCCTTTTGGAACACCAGACTCTGCAGCGCTACTGTGAGTCTCAACGTCATTGTCTGCAGCTCTGCTCGGACGAAAGTCGACAGCAGCGCGCGCAGCAGTCGGGAGACCAGCAGCGTCCCAATCCAGACGAGCAAACCGTTTCTCGTCTCTCGCTCGTCCTCACGTTTTTCTTGCTCCTGTTTCTGCAGCAGCGACACCATTTGGAAGAGCACGTAGGGCCCCATGAGGTCGCAGAGCTTGACGGCCGCATACAGCACGCCAAGTCCAGCAAACTGCAGTCCCTGTGTCGATACAAAAGCCAGCGGCAGCGAGCCGCGGGTGATCCAAGCGCGCTGCAAGGCATTGGCGCCAGCTTCGGTTCGTGCGTGAGGCGGCAGCTCCCAGACGTCCGCCTGCTGCAGCCCGCGCTTGGCTGTGGGTCCACTTGGCTGTCGCTGGATCTGATTAGGACGCAAGTGAGGGTGGGGGTCGGGGTGACTCGAAGGCGACGCGCGATTCGCGAGCGCTATGGACGGCGTGACCCACTGCAGGAGCACGCGACTGGCGAGCGACGCGCACTCGACGGGGTGCGCAAACACTTGCGGAGGCGGCGCACCGGACAGAAGCAGCGGCTGACGCTCAGCGCGGGCGGTCGATGTGCTGGAGGAGAGGGCCGACGTCTGCGCGAAGACGTCGCTGTCGGCGCTTGCGGTGCTGCGGTGCAGCATTTGACACGCAACGCAAGGGGTGGGGTGGTCGGAGCGATGGGGACTCAGATGGACGTACCGGGCGAGTACCGGTATGCGACAGCAGTATCGTCCCAATTCGTCGATTTTGGGCACGTTTCGACTCGCTCGGGGCAGTCGACGACGTTTCCGGTCCATCCATCGATCCCGTTCTTGTTTTGCCCCTCTCTATCCCTCTGTTTGTTAGTTTGCTTATTTGTTTGTAATTTGTTGTCAACATAGAAGCGACAAACAAACAAACAAACAAACAAATGACGAATAATGTCAGAATGACTTGGATCGTCGCAAGGTCCGCTTACCGAAGATGGCTTCAGTGAGAATCACGGAGTCGGATCGGAGTCTGACGCGGCGACGAAAGCGCAGCAGCTGACATCGCACACGAGCGTCAACACGATCGGGCAAATCGATCGTCGTCCTTCTTTTTTTCCTCTACCGAGCGCCGTCCGCGACTGGGTGGGGTGACATCTCTTCCCGGCGCGTCACGTCTGGCCGGCGACCAGCTGTTTGTTTGTTATTACCACACTGCGCGGGTTTGTTTTCTGCACGGCGCCAACTGGTGTAAAAGTGGTGTGGCGTGGTCCGACTCGAACAGCTGTCGGCTTCGCAAAAACGTCAACAAGTCAGCAGTTGCGTAAAAACGAGCATGGGCGACAGTGCTCACGGCCGATTGCCGCGCTCGACGGTCCAGTTCGCGCTACTGCTACTGCTGCTGCTCGTGTCGCTCTCGAGTGGCTCTGCGACCTCTGGCAGCGTCGAGAATGAGGCCCCCACCCGATCATCCACACGCTCTTCAGCCACAAGTGACGTGGCCGCCGCCGCAACGGCCAACTCGACAGCGGAAGTCGGGGACAGCTCCAAGACGCTCTTGCACGAGAAACTGGCGGTCCTGGAGGCCTGTGGATGGCTGGTGCTGGTGCTGTACACGTCGCTGGCTCTGGCTATCGCGTGGCGCACGGCCCTGCACTTTCTGTACGCGAGTCGGAGCGCCAAGAAGGTTTTCCACGTGACGCTCTTGGTGTCGACGCTGCTGCAGCTACCCGAAGCCATCGAGTGGATCTGCTTCCCCATGCTGACGGAGTGGAAGGCCATGTACGTCTGCCGCTTGTACCCTCCGCTGCTTTTGTCGTTCTGTAAATCATACCTGGCTATCTGCTGGGCGGGCGTGGTGGCGGCAGGGCAGCCGATAGCCCAGCGACGGACTTCCAAGCTGATTGTCGTCTTCAACTCGCTCTTGGTGCTGTGGGGCGTGACGGTGCCCATTTTGCTGTCGAGCTTTCGCGACGACGCCGACGGCCAGTACAGCTTTATGCAGAGCAAGCTTCGAGACGTCTTACTGTATTCGGGCGTGCTTATCGTCGTGACGTACGGGATCCTGTTGGGCTATCAGGGCTTTCGCCTACGTCGTCGTCTGCTACATGCGCGCGGTGCCGTCCTCGCTTCCAGCGTCGAGAAGTCCCTCAACCAGCTCATGCTCTCCATCTTCATCTTCATCGTCTCGGACGCAGCTCGCTTGTTGGCCCTGGTGCTTAACCTATCGGGCGTTGCCGTGTCGATGGTCGTGTACCTCGTTCTTTACAACATCATCCCGAACGTCTTCCCGACCATATGCATGCTGTACCTCATGAGGAGGGTCACGGGCAGAGGTAGGAGTCACGTGGGGGTCAGCCACATCAAGGGACTTACTGCCAAGTTTGCGCTGGCAAAGAACCTGACGGGCTCGTACTCGGACGACGGCAGCAGACGAAGCACCGGCAACGGCATGGCTTCTTGCGCCTATGAGGCGAGCGCTGTTGCTGGAGCCGAGAGCGACTTCCAGAAGCAGCATCGGTATCTTCGCCAGCAACAGGACCACGTCCATGGCGCTAGAGAAGCCCGGCAGACCCCGGCGTTTTGCTGGGTCCGCGAGTCCACGGAGCTATGCTGAGCCAGCCCGGTGGCAACAAGAGAGATAGCGACCTTTGACGTTCTAAGTTATTCCCCGCCGAGCTCTTTGCTGCGTTCGTTTTGCGCACAACTATAGCCTGTTCAGCTTGGAACATGCCCTCTTGTGAACAGCCGCACGACTTGTAGTCGACGCTACCACGTGCTTGATGTGTATGAAGTACGGACTCCATGCCTGAGACGGTTACTCTCAGTGCTGTTGCTTTCTTGCCTTCAGTTTGCAGTACCTCGATGAGCTTTGCGTAAGCATAGACCACGCATCCAGTGAGGTGGACAAAGCACCTGCAGTCACCACGCGTTGTCAACGGTCTTGGCTCGAGGTCAGCATCAGTCCACTCAGCCGCTAGCACGACGACTTGGACTGCAGCGATGCAGCACATGCAAGCAGCTAAATCGCGATGTGCAAAGCGCGCCTGGCCTCGATAAAGATACTGCATGGGCCTGTTTCGTGCAGGAAAGCTGACCGGATGGCTGCAGCACAACAAGCAACACACACACTGAAGGCGGCAGCAGCAGTGAGGCGCAAATCGGATCTCTGCGCTTGTGTACAGCAAATGGCAGATAGTGTGAGCAGCAGCAACAGCAGAGCGAGTGTCCAACGTGTTCATAAGTGCATCTTAAACCCGAATGTAGCCACGAGTCGGAGGACCGAGCAGTGACGATTGCTTGCTGGCTTCCCCTAATGACCCGTGAGAACGGTCTGCGTCGTGCAAAGTCATACTGTATGCAAAGAGATGCTGCGCAGGCGCTACTTCTTTTCATAGCGGGACCGTTTGATGCCCATGCCGGCCACAAAACCCTCACCTGCAAAGAACACAGCGCCAGAGAATCGTGAGCTTAGCAACTGACATCTGCTGCTGTCCGTCGCTCATGTATGTGCTCACCTTCTTTCCTGCCTTCGTGGGTCGCATCGGACCATGTCTTCTTCATACCCTCTTCGTGGAACCCCAACTTTTCCAGCTCTTCCTGTTGCATCAGACCCCTATTTTGCACACATTCAACACCCGTCAGGTACTCAGAGACGTCACTTGCGACAAGAAACACGCAACAACAACGGTACAATGTAACACAATGCCATACAACAGCGACGCAACTATTAGTTGTATACTATTTACTATTGTAGATAGTATACAACTACGATGCAATACAACTACTATAACAAACACAATAGTATACAACTACAATACAACAGCGATACACAATATCGCGAGACGCACTTGTCCATCCGGCACTGCAGGTACTCGGCCGAGAGCTTCTTGCAGTCAATGTGGCTGTTGCCATGCTCGCGCATGCAGGCCAGGAATCTCTTCATCACGGGCTTGCACTCGCCATAATGGTCCAATGGGAACGAGCCCTTCTGCGGCGGTCGCTTGTTCTGCGAAGGCGCCTGCGCAGCGTTCATCCCAATCACCCGATGAAAACGCAACAACTGCTTTTTATAACTTGCAACTACCGACTCGCCATGCCGCGACGTTTACCTTCGAGTCACACGTGGGCCCCACGGGTCAAAATCGCGATCTGATTGGACCGTTTTCGACGTGCCCACTAATCAGTTGCCAGGAACAGCGATGCTGACGCCAGCGGTGGCCGTTGGCATTGCGGCCGGCGCTGTGGTGTTCGTGGGCTCGCTGCTCGCAGTGTTTATGCTACTGCGACATGGCGGGTCGTTCGAGCGCATGCAGCAGGAGGCAGCGGGGCTGCCGACGACGTTGGGGGAGCAGAAGCCGCTGCTGTACGACGAACTGCTGGAGAAGGCAAAGACTTGGGGCGCTCGTCCAGCGCAGCTGGGCACGGACCAGTTGCTGGAAGGGAAGTGCGTCTGCGTGAGGGACTTTTGCGCCTATAGAGACGCTGCGGATCTCTTTGCTATCTCGAGTGGGGAGCGACGCGGCGGTCTCTTTCGCGACGTGACGTACGACGCCGACGAGATGATCTGGAGGTACCTCCCACACGGACCGTTTGCGTCAGCCGCTGCGTTTCAGCGGTTCTACGCGACGGAGAAGGACGATGCACGTCACTTTGTGCTGGTGCATCGAGAGAGCAAGCAGTCGATTGGAATGGTGACGCTGGGCGAGCACTCGCCGACAGACCTTCGTATCGAGTTGATGCACTTGTGGCTCACGCCGGCTTTCCAGAACACCACGGCAATGACAGAGAGCGTTTTGCTGCTGTTGACGTATCTGTTCGATAGGGGATACCGTCGAGTGGAGTGGCGGTGTGACGGGCACAATGTTCGCGCTCGACGTGCTGCGCACTCGTTGGGATTCACTTTTGAAGGTGTGATGCGGAAGCACCGAATCGTCAAGAGCTGCAACTGCGACACTGTTGTCTTTGCGGCTATCAACAGCGAGTGGAAGGTCATGCGAGGGCATCTCGAACACAAGCTCTGGCAAGCGCTGCATAGGGATAGTGGTGAGTCGGACGTGAAGAAGACGCAATGAATATTGGTTGTAAAAAGCGTGGCGTGTGTTCCGTGCCAGCGATTGATATGTCTCTACATGGTTATGATGTACTTCCCTGCTTACGTTGTCCCTCACTCGAGTACAGGCTGTCCTAAAGCTAGTCGATCTTATCGACACGGCCACTCTGGCTGCCAGACCGCCGTGCCTTGTGATAAGCGTTTTGGTCGACCAAGTGCACTTCTGCGTGCTCGAGCCAGCTGATGAGCGCAAACGTCTTCTCCGAGTGCTTCATGAGCCAATGGTACGTGAGCCAGACTTGCATAGTGATGTAGATAGCGATGAGGACATCGAGAGTGTAATGCAAACGCGTGCCCACGATAGCAAAGATACCAAAAGCCGACATGACATACGTGTAGTAGCGAATCATCCACAATACGCACGGGAAGCGTCGAGTGAATGGTGTGTTCAACTCCGAGCGGACACAGTACTGCGTGCATCAATGACGACAGCGGTTAGCGACCTCAGACATGATGACAGTGATGTGCGAGATAGAGCGTTAGCCATACCGTTCCGGCGAACATGCAACAGAGGATCAGAAAGACAGCGTGGCCGCTAAAGATCATGTCACCACACGTAATGTGCTGTGACGGGCGGATCAGCACCTTCCACGCGCGAAAGAAAGCTCTGCAGTTTACGCACAACAGCTGTCCTTAGATTCTTGCAACTGCTGCATCATTGGTGTAGCTACAAGAACGCCAAACTGAGATGCACGTACTTTGGGAAGATAGGGAGAGACTTGTAGTTTCCGCGATCCGTGTCGAACTGGGAAATGCACATGGGACTGGCGTCTGGCAGCGACGTCACCGCCACGCAGCAAGCTCGCATGAGGTTGATGATCGCAAAGATGAAGCAGAAACGACGTATGATCAACAAGCGCTGCAACAGTCCATCCAAACCAAACCGAAAAAACGACAAACAACCGTGAGTGACCGCTGTATCAATCTGCAGCAGAAAAGTGAAGCACAAGAACGACAAGACGCACCCGCGGATGCAGAATGAAGATTAGCGAGGTGAGCGTGCCAACGGCTGCAAGGAACTCGTCCGGCAGGTCGAACCACTCAATATACGTCGTCTGGCCGTAGATCTTTGTCATGACAAATTTAAAGAGGTCGTGCCCTAGATCTGGAAGGGTCTTGAGATCCGTGCGTTCCTTCGTGAGGTCCATGATCACTACATTCGGCGTGCGCCAGCTATCCGCAGCGCCCATCGTACAGCCACAGCCACAACACACAGCGTCAACTACTGCGATCCTCGTGCGACCTGATGAACCCAAAGCAGCAACCAAACCACACGGACACCGTACCCGGCAATCACAGCAGCCAACGTATTCAGGTACGAGGCAATCGCAAAGATCGAGAGCGAGAAGGCCAGCCGCGAGAGGTACGCGTAGCTCAGCATCTCCGCGATGAAGCCCTGGCGCCCCGAGTGGTCGATCGCGCGGCCTTTGATGTACTGCAAGTTCTCGCCCACGCGGTTGCGCTGGTCCGAGACGTAGAGCGACATGTCCTGCAGGTTCTTCTCCACGCGCGAGCGCAGCACGAGCCCATGGCGAGAGACGAGCGCCCGCGTCGTGGCGGCGACAACGCCCACGAAGAGCAGAGAGAACGAGATGATGATGAGGAAGCCCGACGGATCGAAAGCTGACACTGGTCGGGCTTTCATCGCGTAGAAGTGCGACGTGCAGTAGTCGGTCCAGCTCTCCATCCTCGAGGCAACAGCAGCGGCAATAGCGGCAGTAGCAATAGCAGTAGCAGTAGCAGTCACTCGACTTTGTTCGCAATTGGCGTTGGGGTTTCGTAACTTGTTCACTGGGAAAGACACAACGCGCGAATTGGGCTCACGGCACGGGCCGACTGGTGCACCCAAAGGGCCAAAATGGGTACACGAAAGCGCAGACGGTCCGATTCGCACGCGCGCGCGTGTCCCCTTTTTTTTCGTCGCCCCAAGCGATGGACAAAACACAGCGTGCGTACTTAGTGACGGATGATCGCCGGCGTCGGTCGGTAGGTGCGATCGCGTGGTCCGTGCGCACTTAGCACAAAAGGGACCAAAAGTAACGACCCCACCTTCGCAGCCGACGGCCGCGACAATGGCCGTGCGTGTAACGACGCCCGAGATTCGGCTGCACTGCGGCCCCACGGGACTCAATGAGGCCGTCCTGTCGCTCGACTTTCTGCACCTCCACGGAAAGATCGATCGAGACGCTGCTGCTGTCCCGGACACGCCGCTGCTGGCCACGGGCGGCGCCGACAAGGAGATCAAGTTGTGGCGCGTGAGTCGAGACGCCGATGCTACAACGAGCGCAGCGCTCGAGTTCGTCTTCAGTCTCTCGGGCCACGACCGCAGCGTCAACTGCGTGCGGTTCTCGCCCAATGGCGCGTACTTGGCGTCCGCCAGCGACGACACGTCGATCATTCTCTGGACAAAGCCCAAGACAGCAGGCGACGACTGGCGGTGGGACCACATCTCGTCGCTCAGCGACGTGGGCCGCAAGATCCTCTCGCTGGGACACAAGGGCGACATCACGGACCTGTCGTGGTCGCCCGACTCGGCGTTTCTCTGCTCGACTTCAGTCGACAATCGCTGCGTGATTTGGGACGTGGAGAAAGGAGACGTGGCCGAGCGGCGCAAAGACCACACGCAGTACGTCCAGGGCGTCGCGTGGGACCCGCTCAATGAGCTCCTTGTGACGGAAAGCAACGACCGTACGTGTCGCGTCTACTCGCTCAGTGGCTTTGGCGCGGCCACTCGGCCAGATGGGAAGAAACAGCGGCGCAAGTTTGTAGGCATCCAGACGTTGAAGACACGTGAATTTGGGGCACCACAGAGCGGATCTACTGGGGCAGCAAAGAGCGACAACGAAGGCAAGGAGAGTGTAAAGAATGTGGAGGACGCTGAAGGAACGTCTGCAGTTGCAGGAGAGTCGGCGCCTAAAGCTCTGCTGGCGCAGAAGCACCGGATGTTCCTGGATGATACGTGTCCTGCATTCTCTCGTCGGCCCGCATGGACGCCAGACGGAAGCTATTTCTTGGCGCCAACTGGGACGTTTCGAGCAAGCGAGTCGGCAACTGCGGTGAACACAGTGTATGCGTTCTCGCGAGGTAACTTGAGTCAGCCGACGCTGCACCTCCCCGGCCAGAAGAAGGCGTCGCTTGGTGTTCGCTGCAGCCCCCTGCTCTACGAATTGCGGCGTCAAAGCGACCATCCAGGAAGCTTGCCTTTGCCCAACTTTTTCAAGACGGAGTACCGCTCTGTATTTGCTGTGATTACTCTTGACGCTGTTATCATCTACGACACTCAAGTACGTTGCGTTGCTGATGCTCTGTACGGTCTCACCACTAACTACTGTCGGTTGTTGCGTCGTGACGTCGACATGTCCAGCAATCGCATCCAATATGTACGATAAGAGGCCTCCACTACGCAGACTTGACGGACGCGGCCTGGACAGCGGACGGCCAGGTGCTGAGCATCTCGTCGACGGATGGCTATCTATCGATCATCCAGTTCGAAGATGGCTTTTTCGGGACAAGCGTTTCTCGCGAAGGTGAGTGTCAACAATGTATGTATACTTCTTGCTGCGCTGATGTACAACTGACGATGTACGCTTGGTGCTCTCGCGTGAAGATCAAGTTGCTCTAAACGAGACCAAGATGCGTCGAATGTTTGCGACACCGAAGAAGGTGCGCAAGAAAGCTAGAAGTCAGGTGCTGGCGCAGACCACGCCAAAGGAGCAACCGCCAGCGAAGGCCTCTCTCACAAAGTCGAGACCGCAGCAGGTATCAGACCCCGTTATGCGCGTCAATCAGAACTCAGAGGGGCACAGTGCTGCCAACCCTGTCAATCTACTGCAGGTGAGGAAAAAGCGCAAGGCCTCACCGGTGGTGGTGCCAGCTGCGGCCACGTCTGTGGCACACGCTAGCAGTACTTCTGCAAGCAGTGCGCCACTGACATCTAGTGCTCCAGCACATGGCACAGAGACGACTGTTCGAGACCAAGTGAGTCCCTCTCCCGAGCTCGTGTCTGTGGAAACACAGCCAACCGAAGCACCACCGACCGAAGAGCACACTCGTGGTAGCGGTGCGGTCGACGATCGTCTGAGTATGTGATATAAGTCAAGAGTGTAAGTGTCAGCAAGGTCATGAGTGACACAAACGCATCGTTGCTGGTTTTGCACCGCATGCTAGTTGCTCCTGCCCTCGCGTGCGTCTCTGACACCACGTCACAGCAACCCCTTGTCCATGCCTGGCAGCTCGAACGCCTTGATGGTCCTGAAGACGAGAAAGTAGCCATAAGCGCAGCCCAGTCCTCCGAGCAGCAGAATGTTTAGCCAATGCAGTATCGAGTGGCTCTCTGGCGACACGAGCTGTGCTCGAAGAAGCGTCAGGGTCTGGAGCGAAAAGCAGATGCAATAGGCTTGGCAAAAGGTGCGTCGGACGAGAGCGTCGCTCACGAGCCGCGTGCGCCACACCATCCAGCCTTGTGCCAGGGTCAGTGCACCTGCAATGCACAACACCAGTGTTGGCACATGCGTCAGAAGAGAGCACGTCGTCGCCATCGTCGTCGTCATCGTCATCGAGCAGCAGTCAGCGAATGTCAGAGCAAAGAGCGAGAGATGGCTACATGTGGACGCACCGTACAGACGGAGGAACTCGTGCGCCATGTGCGTGTTGTTGCTCGCGTCGCCCAGTATCGGCGACATGAGCGCGTGCGGCGTGAGGAAGCAGAACGCGCCCGTCACTGCTGCAATGGCCATGTGCACGGCAAACAGCAGGTCCAGCTGACGTCGCACGGCCTGCACCATTCTGCTGTGCGAGGCGCGGCAAACGTGCGTCGTGGTGAGTCGCACGTTGACGGCACACCAACGGCACACCACCGAAACACCACCGACACATCACCGACACACGACTGACACGCGACTGACACACGATTGGCACACTACCGACACATCACCGACACACGACTGACACGCGACTGACACACGATTGGCACACCACTATCACATCACCGACACACGATTAACACACCACCGACACACCACATACCCCCCACGAGGAGTTGAGGTGAAAAAAAGCCAATGAGCCACTCGGTCGTCGCGCTGCTGCTGCCGCTGCTGCTGCTGGTGGTGGGCCTTCCAGCGCTGGCCAATGCCATGCACGTGACGGTCCCGTCGGGCGCGACCGAGTGCTTCTCGGTCGAAGCAGACAGCTTCAAAGAGGGCATCTCGCTCAACTACGAAGCGCTGCGTGGCGTAGCAGACGAACTCAAGACGGAGCTGCTGGACGGCAAACATAAGGTGGTCTACACCCGCAACGGCGCGTCAGGGCGGTACGTGAGCCCCATTGGCGAGGTCGGGACGCACTCGGTGTGCTTCAACAACGAGCACGCGAGCGCGGGCGATGTGGTGATCGGCTTCTCCTTCCACGCCGACGATCCGAGTCACGAGGTGCTCTCGAACGCGGACGCCACAAAGATCAGTGAGTAGCTGCGCTGCACTCTACTGTACTCTACCGCACTCTACTGCACTCTACTGCACTCTACTGCACGTCACCTTCTTGTCGCTGTCGCAGTGAGTGCTGGACTTGGGCTAACAACGTGTTGATACTTTGCGTGCACCTGCTGCACTCTTGACGATGGAACGGCAGAGCACGTGCAGGAGCTCGAGGACATTGTGTACGAGCTGAGCGTGAATCTCGACACCGTCAAGGACACGCAAGCGTTCATGAAGGCCATCGCAAACTACCACGACGAGCGTATGCTGCGTGAACCCGCTCGAGTCGCTACTGCGTCACTAACTCGATCGTTGCTGCTGACTGTTTTGTGTTGGGCGTGTTGTCGTTGCGTGTTGTTGTTGCAGTGATCACGAGCACACACAGTCGCGTCATGTGGTGGACGTTCGTCGAGATGGTCGTACTCACGGCCGTCTCGTTCGCCCAGCTGTCGTTCTTGCGACGCGCGCTCGAGGTGCGACGTATCCTGTAGCCCACCAACGAAGCAGCTGCTGCCACTGCTGCTAGTGCAGTTGCTACTACTTGTCAAGTTCGCGTGGGATTGCCGCCGTCTTGCAAGTGCCATTGCAGATACTGAAAGTGCATTGTCGCGAGCATTGCCGTCCTGCCGAGCGACGCACGTTCCTCCTGTGCTGCACATTCGACAGTCCGTCGCAGGCGTACCCCACACCTGCCAGTCAATAAATGTCCAACAATCAGTGCATCCACAGCCGAGAAAAACGTCAAAAACAGCCAAAACCAGCCAAAAAGCTCTGTCGGTCGTCGTCGCGTCCGCATTTACACTTGGTTAACGTATGCCCAGCACCCGCATCGTGCGTGCCCACCGTCCGACCGACCGACGTCACAAACTTGGCGCGCCACCTGCTCGACGAGTCGCTATGAGTCGCGCGCTCGCGGCGCTGCACCAACGCGGTATGCTCTTCGCCCTCACGCACGCGGACGCCGGCCGCGTGATGGACAGACTGCTGCGGCGACAGGGCGCGCCCAGCGTCTACTGCGGCTTCGACCCGACCGCCGACTCGCTCCATCTGGGGAACTTGTTGCAGGCCATTGCGTTGCGCCACTTCCAGCGCGCGGGCATGCGGCCCATTTTGCTGGTACGATTGCAGCTGCAGTGCGACCGCTGTGGGGGAGTTGCGTGGAGCTAAAACTGGTTGTGGTGTGCACTGTGCGACAGGTGGGCGGCGCCACCGGAATGATCGGCGACCCGAGCGGGAAGTCCGACGCGCGGGTGCTGCTGTCGGACGAGACGGTGCAGCAGAACGCGCGGCAGCTCTTTGCCCAGGGACTGTCAGCGGTGTTGGACTTTGACGACCCCGAGACGGGCGCAGTCGTCTGCAACAACGCCGAGTGGCACAACCACATGTCGGCAGTCACGTGGATGCGCGACATTGGGCGGTGCGTTGTGGCTGTGGGTAGCAGCTGCTGCTGCTGCTGGTGGTGGCTGTGACTGCTTGTTGAGAGCTTATATGATGTGGGGGAATGCTGGTGTGCTTTTGGCTGTTGCACAGTCACTTTCGGGTCAACGCTATGCTGCAGCGCGACAGCGTGAAGACGCGACTGGAGACGGCCCAGGGCATCAGTTTCCTCGAGTTCTCGTACCAGCTCTTCCAGGCGTACGATTTCCTGCATCTATATCGGCACTACGGCTGTGTCGCACAGATTGGAGGCAGCGATCAGTGGGGCAACATTGCCTCGGGCATTGAGCTCGTTCGCAAGAGCACGGGCAAGGTGAGATGAGCGAGCGAGCGAGCGAGCTATCGATTGATCGGAGCGGACGGTGCGTAGTCGACCCATACTGACGTTGCAGTGTGTGCGTGTGGTGTTGTGGCACGTGCATCACTAGGAAGTATTTGGCGCGACGTTGACGCTGCTGACAACCGCTACGGGGGAGAAATATGGCAAGTCCGCTGGCAACGCGGTGTGGCTGAGTGCGGACAAGACGTCTGTCGTGAGTGCCTTCTCGCAATGCATCTTCTTGTATCAGGCTCTTGTGACGAATGCTGTTGTGTTGTATTCGCGTGCGTGTGTGCGTGTTCGTTTGCGTGTCCGTGTACCTCCTCAGTTTGACTTTTACCAGTTCTTTCTCCGCTCGGACGACCGCGATATCAAGAAGCTGCTCCAGAGCTTTACGTTCCGAGAGATGGACGAAATCCGCGATATCGTCGCTGAGCACGAAAAGGCGCCTGAGAAGCGCGCTGCCCAAAAGGTCCTAGCCGAGGACGTCACGGCAATGTTGCACGGTCAAGCCGGCTTGAAGGCTGCGCTGGATGCCACGAAGGTGCTTTTTGGAAAGAAGAGTGGCTGCTTAACGGCGGACGAGGTACTTCGCATGGCCGGAGACGCGCCCTTGACCGTCGTGTCTCGTGCGGATGTCCTCAATCACTCTATTGTGGACCTGGCTGTACGAGTAGGCGCTGCTCAGTCAAAAGGTGTGTGAAGAGTTCGATCGGTGCAGGAACGAGTGTCGGGTACTGATCAATTCTCTTGTGGTTGTTATCGTCGTACGTGTAGCAATGTGTCGACGTCTGATCAAAGGCGGCGGCGTGTACCTCAACAACGGCCGCGTCGAATCCGACACTCTGCGCGTCGAGCCGTCACACCTTCTCGACGACAAGGTATTGGTGGTCCGCATTGGCCGACGAAACAACTTTATCGTCCAAGTGCAATAGAATCGATGGCCCCGTTCATGCGCTGCCCGTGCGTTCACTGTACAATCGGAATGCCCTTGAAAGGTATTGTATCACTGTCGATCCAAGGTCTCGTGATTGTCAGTCCTGAGCTGAACAGGCAAGAAGTCGACAGAGCACCCTGCGCCGTCTTGTTTCAGCAATCGTCATTCGAGCAACGTCCGCTGTGTGCAAACACTTGACACGAGGGTCGAGTCCATCCACATCCGCGCACACGGACCAGTCTCACGCCGCCTCGGAGCGTCCGTGGCACCACGTGCTTCTGTCGACGGACGAAGAGCTGAAGAGGATATACGCAGCAGATGAACGCTCGAGCGTTTTCGCGTGTTAACACGACCACTCGCCCATCACCAGACGCGATCAAAATCACTTGCGCTTCGCTGCCGACTCACTCTCTCGCGCATGCACTGCCTCGTCATCAATCAAACACTTGGCATGCAACGCAGACTTGGAGCAGTTACACGTCTGTCGTGCATCATGGCGCCTGCTCCTTGTACGACTTGACATGGCACAGCAGCAGCAGATGGAGTTTTCAGCTGTCGGCACCGCAATACGGATCGATCCATCATCGTCGTTGGCTCTTTGATTCACGACGAGTCGAAGCGATGCAAAGTATGCTACGAAGAAGCGAAGACGAAGACCGAGTAGGAACGTCGCTGGTGCGTGTGTGTGGACAAGTGCTCGTTCGGATTGACTGCCCTGCAGTATTTTTGACCTGCCGGTCGAGCAACGCTAGGTACACTTGCTCGACTACGCCCAATGGGGTAAACAATCTGACCACTTCGAGCCTAATCGTGTCGTTCTTGGCACGATGCTGGCAACACAACCGCAACTTCGTGCCACATGGTCGCCAACATGCGTTGCATTACGATACTCCATGGGTCCAACAGTGCTGAAAGCAGAACACCGAGAGATGCGTGCAAACGAGCCGGCCGGCTGACGATCTGCTCACAATCAAAGCCGTCCGAGCCGACATCAACGGTGCACGTCCACCTTCACATTGTTCGATGTTGCGGTGAAGACACAGCTCTGATGGCGCTTTCAACGGTGTCGATCTTGCGCGCGTACCCAGCACTTGATCAAGCACGTCCCGTATAAGGTCTTCGTGTAATGGCGCAGCAGCGCGTCTCCACCAGAAACAGTCCGAAGCCCTTACCTTCAGCCAGCTCACCTCTGCCGACTCTCCCAGTCCTTCGGCTTGTACACTGGCGCCGTCGACCTCGGGAGAGGAGTGTTGCCCAAGATGATATCAGCCGCCTTCTCAGCAAGCATAATCGTCGGCGCGTTGAGGTTGCCGCTCACAATGTTCGGCATGATCGACGCATCGACAACGCGCAGGTTCTCGAGCCCGTGCACGCGCGTCTGTGGATCAACGACTGTGTTGTCGTCGACGCCCATGCGGTTCGTACACGACGGATGATACGCGCTTTCCGTGTTCTGGCGGATCCACTCGTCGATCTGAGCATCGCTTTGCACGTCCTTCGACGGTGAAACCGGGTCCCCACGGTACTCGTCCAGCGTCTGCTGCTCGAAAATCTCACGCGTGAGCTTCACCCCCATGCGCATGTCAATCAAGTCTTGTTCCACGCTCAGGTAGTTTGGCTCGATCATCGGCGGCTCATGCGGGTCGTTGCTTCGTAGTTTCAACCAGCCACGACTCTGTGCGCGCATTGGTGAGCAGTGAGCCTGCATGGCGTGGTACGCGCCAGGGGTCAGCTGGCCTGTCAGCGAGCCAGGCAGGAAGTGGTACTGCAAGTCTGGCTGGCGCTTGCCTACGTCACTGCGGATGAAGCCGCCGGACTCGAGATGAGAGGACGCGCCCATGCCAGTCTGCCGAAAGATCCATTCCAAGCCAATTGCCACCATCTTGTGCGGGTACTTCCTGCACGACAGAGAACGACATCAGCTCAACAGCAAGAGCACTGAAGCCAAACAGTAACTTCGTACCAAGTAGCGTTGTGCAGCGTGATCGGCTGCTTGCACATGTACTGGATGTACAGATCGAGGTGGTCCTCCATGTTCCGACCCACTGCAGGAAGATGTTGGACCACTGGTACACCCACCGCTTTCAGGTGGTCAGCATCGCCGACACCCGAGAGCATTAGCAACTGGGGCGAGTTGACTGCGCCTCCAGACAGGATCACCTCTTTCACCGCGCGCACGTGCGCAGTCGTTTTCTGCTTCCGGTCTTCCGTCTCGACGCCCACTGCTTTCTTGCCTTCGAACACCACCTTGCGGACAAAAGTGTCCGTGACAACTGTCAGGTTCGAGCGCGCCATGGCTGGCCGCAAGTAGGCCGAAGCCGTGCTCCATCGACGTCCTTTCCAGACCGTCATATCCATCCAGCCGAACCCTTCTTGCTGGTATCCGTTCATGTCGTCCGTAAACGGGTAGCCAGCCTGCACGCCAGCATCAATGAACTTTTGAAACAGGGGCTGGTGCTTTTGGTTGCCACGAGTGACGTAAAGAGGGCCATCGCCGCCTCGGTACGCGTCCGGCCCGAGCTCGTGGTGCTGCGCCTTGCGGAAGTACGGCAGGCAGTCAGCATAGCTCCATCCCGTGGCCCCGCTCTCGTGCCAGTCGTCATAGTCGTACGCGTGGCCGCGGATGTAGACCATGGCGTTGAGCGACGAGGAGCCGCCAAGCACGCGGCCGCGCGGCCAGGGCAACACCCGTCCGTTCAGGTGTTTCTGGGGCTCTGTGTGGTAGCACCAGTTGTACTTGTGGTCGGCCAAGTTGTACGTCAGGGCGGCCGGCATGTGGATCTTCCACGAGTCCCACTTGCTGCGGTCGTCTGGCCCTGTCTCGACCAGCAACACGTTGTTGGCCGCATCTTCTGTGAGTCGGTTGGCCAGCACGCAGCCAGCAGAGCCACCGCCAACGATTACGTAGTCGTATTCGGCGTTGGTAGTAGCCGAGGAGTGACTCAGGAAGCGAGTGGCGCGTCGCAAAGGGCTAACGGGGGAGAACGAGCGCAGGACAGCCCGCAGCATCGCGAGCGATTGCGTCCGATGTGTCCAATGTACCGACTGATCGACTGACTGATTGGCTAACGGATGAACGAACTGACTGATTGGTGCACTGCAAAGCGGTAAATGAGCTGTTGGTGTCCGCCTCACAAATGTGCCCCACAAACGAGAAGGGCAGTTTCGTACAAAGTAGGGACACCAAATCATTGTGTGAACAGCTGGTCCGGCTGGTCAGTGCGACCTCTGGAAATACATACAGAGGCGCAGTCGTTTGCTGCGCTGGCTGCGGACCGACGCGCCACGTCGGGTTGAATGAATCGGTGGTACCTCTACAACTGCGTATGAGACCGGTTGGTGGCTGCTTTGTCTGCGGAACGGCGTGTCGCACCCGGTTAGACCAGGTCTATCTCAAATCCACTTCCTGTCGTCAGCCAGACGTGTAGGTGGTGGCAGGTCAGTGAGTGGGAGAAGTTCTCGGTGGTGGGTGCACGGTAAGGCGCGCGAATGTGCTGCCATTCACGTGAATCCAGCAGCAACGCAGAAGCTACTTGAGCCACGACGATCGAGAGCAAAAAACGGATTCATTGCGATCGAGCAACGAATCTGTCGAGCCTTTGCTGATCGTACGTACTGTCATCGGTCAAGATCCTTTCCCACGCTTCTGGCGTTATGGTCGCGACTAGTAGACGCGCGCGGGTATATCCACTAGTGCCGCGCGCGTGTCAATCGCAGACGTTTTCGCAATCGATCCGAGCCATAGACGCCGAATACGGCCACAGTTCTTTTTGTCGTCGAATCAGCTGCTGAATCTCAACCGGCACAAGTGAATCCATCTCTCACGCAGGCACACCAACCAAGTCGTCGTGTCGCAAGAAGACCGGGGAGACCCGTCATATATACGTACGTGGCTCGAGTGCAAATCGAAATTTTCACGTCAAGAGAGGACGACGACGACGACGACGACCAACGAGTCGATTGCCTGCAGGAGCACCAGCACAAGACGCATCCAGTCGCGAACGAGCAACGAGCGACAGCGTACACGATGCTGCCGGCCCATGAGCGACGTACAGGTCGGATCGGTAGCATTCATGAATTCCAGCAACGTGCTGCGCGCTACAACGGCGACAACAGCAATGGAGTCAGCGGCAACGACAGGGCGACTCCCATGTCGGCGCTGCTGAGGGACGAGAACGAGGCCGGTGTCCCGGATACGCACGTTGACGTCGCTGCTGCGCAGCGTGACAGTGACGGGTCCGACTCGATCGAGTCGTTCCGAAAATACGGTCGAAGGCGGTCGGCTTCGGGCGCGTCTCTTTTCGGCGGCGAGCGAAGTCGCGCTCTGGACAAAGCTTCGTACTACCGTCGACAGCTGAAAGCGGTTTGCTTCTTGGTCCTCTTGGGTGTCATTGGAGGACCCATGAACTACGGCATTCGACTGTGAGTACTTGCTTCTCGATGTCGTTCTACACGTGGCAATCAATGGTGCACAACTGACAATCGTGTGCATACAGACTGTACGCGCACCTCCTCGATCTGCGGGAACATCTCGTCGACCAGACCGCTGTCTATGCGTGGAAGCTCGTCATTTGGATCGCCCACACTGTGCTTTTTTCCGGGCTGGGACTGTTCTTCACCCAACTGGCGCCAGCTGCGGCCGGGTCCGGCGTCTCGCAGATGAAATCGATCCTTACGGGAATCAACCCGCAAATGTATCTCCCGGGATACTTTGACTTTCCCACCTTTGTAGCCAAAGTTGTCGGCTTGGTGTGTTCTGTTGGTGCCGGTCTTGTCGTGGGCACGGAAGGCGCTTATGTGCACATCATGTCGATCGTCACCCACCACTTGCTGAAAACACCGATGTTCAAGGGACTCAGCACGAACCTGAACGGCCGACTTCAGCTGCTCGCTGCGGCATGTGCAGTCGGTGTGTCGTCGCTATTTTCGTCGCCTATCGGTGGTGTGCTTTTCTCCCTGGAAGTAACGTCGACGTACTACCTCACGTCCAACTACATCAAGGCCTTCATCAGCGCTGTATCAGGAGCACTGATGTTACGCTTGACGCTGGTACTGGCCAACAGCGAAGCCAATCTTGCGACGGAGGCAGTGCTGAGGACGCAGTTTCCACCCAGTCCGTTCGGTATGTGGGAAATCCCTCTCTACATCCTCTTGGGTGCCTTGCTCGGACTGATTGGCACCGCAATGATGTGGTTCTTGCGCAAAGTCGCTGAGTACAGGAGTGCATTTCGAAAGGCTTCGCAAACGTGGAAACGAGTCGTTGTCACGTGGATCGACCCGCTCATCGTGTCCATACTGACAGCTGTGCTCACTTTCGTGCCTGGTGAATATGCCCGCCATAGCTCCATGAACGATCTTGCCATTTTATTCACAGAAGGCGAGCTACCATCGGAGTGGCACGTAGTGTCCAAATACTACGCGCTTTCGACTCTGTCTGCTGCCTTCATTTTTCTGCTGCCGCTGTGCATCACATTGAAAATCCCTACTGGAATCTGGGTGCCAACGTTCATCGCCGGCGCGGGACTAGGCCGCATGTTTGGAGAACTGGTCGCAGTCTTGTTTCCGAGCTTGAACGCTATTCCTGGCACGTATGCGCTGGCCGGGGCAGCCGCATTCGGGTCTGCTGCGACCCGGGCAGTTTCTGTTGCAGTCATCACGCTGGAGATTACAGCGGCTATGCCAATGACGCTTCCGCTCTTTTGTGCATCGCTCGCGGCAATAGCAGTGTCGAGCCTGTTCAAAGAGAAGTCCGTTTACGACACCATGCTAGTCGTAAGCGGTATGCCGTTCCTGCCTTTCATGGACTTTGAGCCGACTACGACTGCAGCTGACGTTGTGGAGCCGTGCTTGGTTTACATACATAAGCGAACGACGATCGCTCGGATCCTGCTTGCACTCCAGCGCTTGCCGCACCACGAGATCCCGGTCGTCGAGGACGAATCGTCGATGATTTTGCTAGGCGTTGTGAGTGGCTCGCAGTTGCGGAGGTTTGTGCGGCATCACTACGCGAGAAACGATCTTGGCGGCGTTGATGAAGATCTTGGTGAGAAGCCCCAGAAGAATCCATCGTTAAGGTCGTGGGTGACTCTGAAGGAACGGTTCACGCATCAATCTTTGACCGACAACACCGGCGGCTTCAACGGGACCGGTTCCGTCGACATCACGTACAACGCTCTGTCGACGCAGATTTCCCACCCGATCGGCAATGGGGCTCCACTTCCATTCTTGATGGACGACTCAAAGATGCTGGGGCTCTTGAACGGTGCTTGGGGCGCCGCTAAAGCCGAAAGACTCAATCGCCCGGTAAAGATCACCGAGGGGCGGATCTGTGTCATCCGTCCGATGGCGATGACCATCTCCAGCAACACACCTCTCGACGATCTTCACATGATCTTCACAATGCTGCGGTGCGACCACTGCTTTGTGTGCGACTACGGAGCTCTGGAAGGCGTTGTCACTACTAAAGGACTTTTACGCTCCGGGAAGTTCGCCGACTCTGCGTAGCAATAAATTATAGATGGCTGAACCAGATACCGCTGTTCGTCACTGACGCAATGCGCTGTCGCCATGGACCGATTGCATGCGTAGTATGGTCGCTAACAGACAAAGAGTCATAGCAAAAAACACGGTCGTGTAAGTTTACAAATGATATTAGAAACATACCAGTGGCAGACGCGTTCCTGCACCGTGTCTCGCACCGGAGACAGCACACTCGACTGCTGCTCAAGCAAGCAGCGTGACCTGCTGCTGCTAGCCGGACCAGAGACAGAACTGCAGCAGCTGTCCCGCACCTCGTGCGGTCCACTCCATCCTGCCGCCGCCTCGCTGCCCTCTACAGCAGCATGACTGCTTGACGCCGTCGAAACGTCAAGTACACTGGCGACGCCGCATGAGCCAGCATGCTGATGCTCTTTTCAAACGACCAGGATGTGATGGACTTCTTGTTGATCGCGACCAGCACGTCGTCGACCGCGATGATCCGGGCAGCCACAGATGGACTCTCGCTGTTGTTCTCAAAGTCGATAAAGCCACCCACAACAAGACTTCCTTCTGCACACAGCAGAAAGACAGACACAAAGAGCAGTCAGGGACTCGAAAAAACAAACGAACGTCAGCAGCCACAAGCAGAACACTACCAACAGATACAAAAATGACACTAACAATGACAATCATAACAACACCAACAACAATAACAACAATGCACGCAATAACCATACACACAGCAAAATGCATCTCACGATTCATGCGCAGCGACATGCCCAGTCCTTCCGGCCGCTTAGGCACCGCCACGTCATAGACAAAGTCCGTCTGCAAAGGCGTCAGCAGCTCGTTCATGGCTGCGGCCATAAAGTCCGGTCGCAGCGACGGGTGGAGCACCATCGTGCCCAGTAAGAGCGTCACGACGGCCGACTCGGACACGAAGTGGCCGTACAAAATGAGCATCTCCATGACCTCCTGGGGCAGCACCAACGAGCCGCTGCAGCGCGGGCACTTGCGCTCCATAATGCGCCGGAACGACATGTCGACGCCCGGGACGCGCGTGACCACGAGACAGGACTCGCACGCAGCCATCAAGTGCGTCGCGCGTTCGTCATTCGACAGAGCTTTGAGCGGCAGGGCAGGGGGCGGGGCCAAGCTGTAGGCGTTCAACTGCTGCTGCTGTTGTTGTTGCTGCTGTGGGTGGTACAAGGGCTGCGGGGACGGGTACAAGGGATGCTGCTGCTGATGCTGCTGCGGGTACTGCTGCGGATGCGACTGGTACGGATGAGACACGGCGTCCGGTAGCGGTGGCGCAACGATAGCGGCGTTCATGGACGCGTCGTAGCCCGACGGGTGGGCAAACGTCTGCTGCTGCTGCTGCAGCGTGTCTTCCATGATGTTGGTCTGACCAGTGCTGTGATTGGCGCGATCGAAATCGTACATGAACGGGTACACGCACCACACCAACAGACTCACCACATTTCCCTTGAGGTTGATGTCCCTCGCAGTGCGCACGCCACCACATCTCTCTCGTTTCCTGTCCCTTTCACAGCGCGCACTGCACCACATCGCTCGTTTCCCTTTCCGTTTCCCTTTCGCAGTGCGCACTGCACTTCACTTGTCCCGTTGCCTTTCCTTCGCACATATGGCCACTGGCAACGACGCGGTCGCCGACGTCGACATGTCGTCGTCCGACAGCGAGGCGGCGTCTGCGCTCGAGCCGTCGCTGGACGCCGCCATGCTGAACGAGCTGCTGCTCGTGTGCTCGAACCTGGGCATGCTGCGCGTGCCGCAGGAGGGCGGGGCGCCCGTGTTGATGCGTGGTGAGGACTGCGAGCAGTGGATCCACGACCTGCAGCGCGCCTTGCGCCGCGACCACGCCACGCACCGCCTCGTGACGAAGCAACTGGGCCAGTGGCAGATCCTGCAGAAGAAGCTCCTGCCGCTGCTCGTGCACCACCAGCACGACTGGCCGCTCGTGTTCTCGATCCTCAAAGTGCTCGTGATGCTCACGACGAAGCCGCCGCGCGACTCGAGCCACGTTGCCCAGCAGCTGCAGTACTTGCGGCAGTACAAGCACGAGTTCCTGCGCCGCCAAGTAGTGCCGATCCTCATGGCGGTCGTCGTCGAGCCGCTCGCGCGCACAGGCGCCGCGCGCACGGCGACGGACTACCTCAACATGGAGATCGTGCTCATGTTGCTGCGGAACCTGCTGGCGATCCCGAACGAAGACCCGCGCTACGTCACGTCGACGACGGCGCACTTGAGCCACCTGCAGGAGGACCTGATCGCGACGCTGCACGAGGAGAGCGCGTACGAGATGTTGCTGCTCTTTGCCCAGGACATTGACTCAGCCGAGCACCGCGAGTGGAACCTATTGATCATGGAGATGCTCGACCTCACGCTCGACTGCTCGCAGCCGCAGGCCGTGGCAGCGTACGCCAAGAAGCGGCTCACAGGGGACGCACGCGGCGACGCTCGTGCTGTGCAACACGCCGACCAGGCAGCAGGACCGACGCTGGCTGCCGGAGACGGCAGCACGCGTGCAGTAGCGCGAGTGGGACGAGGGGATTTGCTGGACAAGCTCAAGCACGAAAAAAAGCGTCGGCGTCGCTCCAGTTGCGCTCGCGTCGCCATTCGAACTTTGGGGGCGTTCTGACTGTCGTCGGTCCGACGGGACGAACGACTGTGGTGTCGGACTTTACAAAGCCAGCGTCCGACCAGGTGCCACAGGTAGCAAAGAAGCCGACGTCCCGGAGGAGAGGAAAGAAAAGCGCTGCTCGAGTGACGGACATCCACGAGGTGTTTGTTGCCGGGAAAGGAAAAGTGACGGAATCGGACGAGTAGGACGTTTGTTTGTTTGTTTGTTTGTTTGTTTGTTTGTCTGTTTACGAGTAGAGTGTGCTCGTGACCTGCTTGGATGACTGACGGGGCTAACACTGCGAGTGTATGTGTGGCTGTGGTGCTGCTAGACGTACGATGCGAGTGCTCCAAGACATTTGCGACTCGATCATTGCCAAGTCTTACTTCCAGCTCACGAACTCGTTAAAGACTGAGTTTCGCCGAGGTAGCAGCAAGTTGATTGCCACCGATCGACTCCAGTACTTCCATCTCGTCTGGTTTCTCACTACATACCACCGACTGAAGATTCAGACGCTGCGGTCGCACTACAAGCGTCAGCTGAAAGCCGTGCAGGAACAAACTGTTGGGGGCCAAACAGCCCCGGGTCTTGGCACGTCTGTGCCTCCGGCGCCCGAGAAGCCAGACTATGGTGAAAAGGCCGTGTTGTCTACGTTGGACATGTTTTCCTTCAACTTTGTACTCCAGTCGATAGAGAATTATGCCACAATGAAGAACTATCATGGCATGACCGTTTCCGTCCAGCTGTTGACCGAGATGATGGCGTACCTTGCTGAGCTTGCTGCAAGCGATGATCTGCGTTTCCAGCGTATTGCTGATTCGTTGCAGCACAAGATTTTCTATGAACGCGATTTTCTGGATCGACTGCCGGTGCTGTTGAAAACGTGGTCTCCGGGTCTTTTCCATAAAGCATACGTTGTCGATGTCGTCACTCTGACTCATGTAGGTGCCAGTTGACGGTGCATACCCGGGCGGTCTAACTCACGTGTTGCTCGTTCTTCTTTGCGCGTAAAGCTTGTCCTCAAAGTACTGGACGCACAAGGAACTATCAAGGTCCTTTCACGAAGAAAAGCGTATCTCGACCTGTAAGAAAACAACGTGTGGGCTGGTATTCTGCTATATACTCACTGACACATTCTGCTGTTGTTTTTTGGGCTACCGATGCAGCAAACGTAAAAAGAAGAAGCACAGCGATGCAGACGGTGAGGACTCAGGTGGCAGCTCGATGGACGAGGAGGAAACTGAGCAGCAGGCACAGACTCTGATGGAAATGCAGCGTAAAGAGGCCGATTTCGATGTGCGGAAATACTTTGCCAGCATGGTTTCAGCAGACACTATTCGAATGTACTGCTCGTTGCTGGCTGACTACCGCGACAACAGCGCGAAAGTGAATCACTACATTCACTCCTTTTTGTACCGAACGAAGCTGTTCAGAATTCATCAGCAAGAGGAATGGACGATGCAACCGATGCTGTTCAACATCCACGTCCTCCTGCTGTTCAACAAGATGCTACAAGACACATACATCCAGCGTCTGCCCGAGTACAAGAATTTTCTGGACTTTATCCGCAGCGTTGTGCGCGACTTTTTCACGCTTGCCGACAAAAACAATCTGCTGTTTGTCGAAGCTCTGTTGCGCCAAACGTACCCCTCGAAATCGTGCGTGCTTATACAGCGAAGTTACGATCCGATCGATTCGATGAGCAAGTCGAAACCACAGGCAGTTTCGTTAGGCAGGAAGAAGCAAATCGAAGCGACGAACGAATCTAGACGACATCGAACTGCTTTGGACCATGAAGAGCTTGAGGGCGAGGCTGAGTTTCAGTTTACTTTGGAACCGTCGGATTTTGACTCAGCATCGGTTCTAAATAGGAAAGATAAAGAAGATGACGAGAGTGAAGCTGAGTGTGATTTGACGGCGTTGTCGCCGAATGCGTCTGCTTCTGCTACGAGATCGAGGCTAGAAAGGAAGGCGTTAGTGTCCCGTGCAGCGACGGAGCGTGCCGAAAGCTGGAGCAAGGTTGAGGACCGCTATCTAGCGAAGGTGTATATGAAGTTCCGCCACCTACCGTCCGTGTACGATGCCATTTCATGCGAGGACATGTTCCAGGAGCGCGATCGAACGCCGGAGCAGATAATGCGTCGTGCGGAATTCCTGAAGCTCTACCGAGAGAGCCACGATTTGTCTGATGGGGATGGGTATGAGCAAAGCAACTCGAGTGGCGAACAAGATGAAGGACAGGCCGGTCAGAAGAAGACTCTCGATACAACTGGTCCCAGACGACGCCTTCGCCGTGGGGCCGATCTGAGTGACGATGAAAGCGACGATGACATGCTTTTACGGAGTCGAACGAGTGCTCCGGTCGATCCATTACAATCGGCCAACACTGCCGCTACACATGGAGAGAATGTCACGGATATTGGTGCTGTTGCTGATATAGAGATGAACGGCGCAAGTCTGCATGCGGGTTCGTCAAATGTGACCACTCCTAGTGTGAACGATGACGTCTACAAGGGCCAATGTCAAGAGGACACTCGAGTGGTAGAGGATAGCATTCGTTCATGCGGTGAATACCGAATCGAGCAGTCCGCCGAAACACAGACGGCTCGGAAGCCTCGAAATGATGCGGACGCTGCTGTCAGCGTTACTGCCGACGTGGCAACTGCACATGCGGGTGCAGAAGCAGAGAATACCGATGAACCCGCGATGGTCATTGCTGGACTGGAAGCCGCTAACATCAATGGTAGCCAAGACGTTGTGGTCCCGGTCACGGACACCACTGTCGCGCAGCCATGCAAGCGAGCCCGCACTACCGAAAACGACGAATGCATGGAGGACACGCCAGCGAAGAAGATTAGTATTGCAAGGGAATAAGCTGGTTCGGGATGCTGATGCGTCTGAGGCCACGAGTAACATGTAAATGCCAGCCGTGCAGGGCACGACGTGGATGCCAATTTGCTTGCAGACCGGCGTTTTCTACTCCAGTTAAATTATGCCTTCCTGCAGATCATCGTCTGCACTCAAAACTTCAGAGTCTCTCTCTCTTGGGCTCATGTTTATCCGGTGTGCGCTCACGATTTCCGAGAAGCACTGAGTGCGCAACAGCGATTGGTAAAATGGCAAGTCCTCCTCAGCACGAGCAGCGAGAAACTCGGTTTCGTCAAAGATGACTACCGACTCCTTCGTGTCACCTACCACAAGACAAGCGTTCGTGTGACCACTCAACAGCTCGGAGAACAAGTCAAAGCAAATGCCACGCAACTGCTCGTCTTGCTCGGCTTCCGTTTCCGGAGACACTTTGCAAGGCAAGCGACTGTCTGTTGCGTCGGGTGGCACGTTGTCGCACCCGCCTATCGAATCGTACATCAATGCGCTTGGGAACAGCAACCTGTCCAGCTCGTGCTTCGCCGCTTCAAAGCACCTGGGCAAAAAGATCGTATTCTCTTCGACGTCATTTAGCAGACCCACGCCGCGCCAAGACACCGACTCACTACCAACGTATTCCACGACCTTGCGGTCGACGTCAGCGACAAGGTATAGGCCACGTGTTGGCAGGTCGGATCGCAATGCGAACGAGCTGTGTACGCCCACAAGAATCGGCGTCGGACACTGCAGATACGAGAGCAATGGCTTTGGCAGCACAGGCGCGTACACGTGACACCACGAGAACGGTCGAAGCAAGTTGCGGATAGCTTCGGCACACATTGTCAGCAACGAATACTGACTTGCCACCACGACGACGCTGCACTCAAGTACAGCGCTGGCGAGGATCTGGAGAACGAGGGCAGTACCAAACTGCTCGAAGAGGATCTTCATTGGAACGTCCACCTGAGTTTCCAGCGAAGTCAAAGGCGGGCCCGGAATGCTGCTGTACTGCCGATGCGCTAGACGCCGCATGTCCGGGTGCACATACGTGTGAGTCCTGGCGCTAGTGATTGTCGTGTGTTTCCACTTGAGGCTGCTTTGGAACAATAATGCCAAGCAGTCGTGTGCCAAAAGGCTGGACCGATCCGGTGCCGCTTGCACGTGTTCTTCCATCAACCTTCTCAAAGAGTTCACGAGCGGTAGGTGGGAAAGCAAGCAGAAGCCCTTCGCAACGTAGATCTCGTCGTTCAACGACCCTACATGCATTAGTTCGTATGTCAAGTAGACTGAGCCGAACAGAAACCCATCCCGGCCGCTTTGCTGAAACGAAAACAATGCATCAGCCGGACACTTTTCACCTCCTGATCCATCGATGAGAATTCGACCGCTCGGCACGAGAAATGTCTTGATGCGTCTTGAAACGTCATCCATCCACTCGTCACTATAGACTCCATCCGTGCTTGGGTTCGAGACAGGCATGAGCATCAACGTCGCAGCGGCATTTCCCTCCTCCTGTTTCTCTACAAATGTCGCAAACGTCAGTATAGCATCGATCCCGCTGTCGCCCTCCTTCAAATTTGGCGCACTTGCGCTCGGCGACTCGTAATTTGGCCGGTAGTGCACTTGAAGGCCTTCGGGCAAGTTCGTCAGTCGTATGATGCTCTCGAGGTTCAGCTCAACTTCGTCAAAGGTGCGGCCACCACTTTCCTCGGCATCACTTCGACTCTCTCCTTCGCTGCTTTTCGCACTCGCGTGATCCAAGTCGTCTGCTACAGTCGGCGTACTGCCGAGATGCTCCTCCTTGTCTTCTTGTTCCATCACGCCATCGTCGCTTTCCACGTTGCCCACTGGTGCGTCGGTCCTGCCAGCATCCGTGCGTACCTTGGAGTACTCCGCAGAAGAAAAGGCTCGAGACAACGCCTTCCTAGCTATATCGTGTTCGGGCTTCTCCACGAGGTCGAAGTGGATCAGTGCGTCCTGCAGCGCCACCTTGTACAGATTGCTTCGGATGAACCGGCCAAAACACGAGGATTGCAACATCGCAAAGATCTCTTGCTGCGCTCTGATGAAAAGCGCTTTGGTCACAGCTTGTGGCGGCTGCTGTTTCTCGTCACCGCGGCGACTGGCCACCGCCAGGTACAAATCGTTTTTGGTCGCAAGCGTGATGGCCTGCGAATCGTTCTGCGCCTTGTCGACGAGTGCGCGCGCCAATTGCCAGAACAGCGCATCGTCCGCTTCTTCTAGCAATGGTTTGAGCACGTACTCGACATGTAGCCAAAAGTAGAGCTCAAAATGCTGCCGGGTCTGCATCAGAAAGAGAAGAAAATAGTGCGCTGCTCGCGGTTGCTGCAGCACTTTTTCGATCGAGATTCTCCTCGTACCCTCTTCCGTGTCAATGAGCATCTTGAGGTACTCGTCGCTCTTGAGAAATCGCGGCATCTCTTCGCGCGTCAGCCGCATGTATGCCAGCTTCTGGATCGGAAAGAAACTGTCGTGGACCTTGTCGGTCCGATCCACCTTTTCCTTCACGAGCTGCTCGAGCTCCGCAGTGAGCTCGAGTGTCGTCGAGATCTGAAACTCGGATGCCTTGTCAATGTACTTGAGCCAGATCTTGTGCGCCTGCTCGCGCCGTTTGCTCTCCTTGACCGTCTGTAGCTGCTCAACTTCCATGAGAAACAGCAGCACCTGGTGGTAATTGCTCGGCCTCTCGACACTGTCTTCAGCCTCTGTGTCGATCGAGAGCCACTGCAGCAAATACGGCAACTTCCTCGGGTCTTTGACAATCTCCTGGAGCGTGAACGGCACGTGGCCCTGGAGCTGCTGGACGCTCTCGAGCGAACACACGTCTCGAATCTGCGCTTGCCGATGCGATGTGTCCCCACTCTTCGGCGTTGCGCCTCCCGGTCGCTTCCACTGCAGCGTCGTGGGACGAAAGAGCTTCCGCAACTTGGCGCTCACGGGCAACATTGGATTGGAAAAGGCGCTCCGGTCCGTTGAGGCCGTCGAGACGTCTCCTGCCGATGCCTGAGACGCCGAACTGGGGCGATCGACACGGAACGGCGACCGTCGAGCAGCACTCGACCCCTCGTCGCTCGACCTGTCGTCCCCAAAGAGCCACGACTCGAGGTTCATCGTCGCCATGGGCCGCATTTGTCAACGGATGCAGGCCCGGACGACGTTGCGCAACTTGCGCGCAACATACGCGCGAGGGACCATCGATGTGCACCACACTATTCGTGACCCAACGAGATCCCCACATGACGCACCGGGCCAACGTGCTGGCGCTGTACAAGCACATTTTGGCGCTGCATCGACGCCAACTGAAGCCGCACATGCGCGTGCTGGGCGATCAGTACGTGCGCGATGAGTTCAAGCGGCACAAGAGTGCCGATCCCAAGTTCGTGCCGCTGTTTCTGCGCGAGTGGGAGCAGTACGCGGCCGTCATGGACCAGAAGAAGGACTGCTATGGTCAGGAGCTGTCGGTCGCGGACCAGCAATTATTGGACAATGAGCAAAAGATGAAGTTGCGCGCGCTGCAAGACGCTGCGAAGAAAGTGGGCGAGACGATTGCCTGACGTGCGAGTCGCCACTTGGCGCCACGTCGTTGGCAGTAGCTCTTCGCGGGAACGACGGACGCTGGAGCTGGTGGGTCGTTGTCGTCGGGTTTAGCACAACAGTTGTTGCTCGGCCTGTAAGCCGCCGCCGGATGAATGACTTTCCTGGGACGATACGCTCATGCGTGATCGATCCTCTGTCTTGCTAATCGGTACAGCATCCACTGCACCTCGTTCGATCGGTTCATCGACACGCGCAATGTCGGTCTCACTTGCGACACACCACTACTACCCGCTCGGATATATCGCAGAGCGCAACGCACGTCCATCCAGATATGTTTGCTCGTCCTGTCTCTTGTCCGAAAAGCAAATCATAATCATGACCGGTCACTCCGTGTCGCACCGTCTCTTGTTCGTGCACTTGAAGTTGATCGCGCCACGCCACGTCGCACTCCAGCAGGCGGCACTTTTGCTTTCGCGTTGTGGTGCTCACGTCAACGCAACGCCATTGGGACACGACCCGCCAGTGCCACTGCCACCACAGCTGTCCCTCCGTCCACAATGGCCACCCGCTCCCCCGCGCGACGCGAACTCGGCCGCGAACTGCGTCGCCCGCGCACGATCCTCATCAAAGTCGGCACAGAGATCGTGCACTCGCCCCAGGGGCTGTTGGCGCTGGGCCACATTGGTAGCATCGTCGAGCAGATTGCGACGCTGCACATGCGAGGCCACCGCATCATTCTCGTGTCCAGTGGCTCCGTGTCCATTGGCAAGATGGTGCTCCGTCGCCAGTACCTGCTCTCTGGCTCCATGCAGTCGCACCTCGGGGGCCACGTGGTCGACAGCGCCACGTTGGACGAGAAAGCGTGTGCAGCTGCAGGGCAGAGCGGGCTCCAAAGTCTGTACGAAATGCTGTTTGGCCAGTACCACTTGGCCTGTTCGCAGGTGTTGGCGTCCGACGCCGACTTTCGAGAGCCGCACGTCCGCGCCAACTTGCAGCGCACGGTCCGCGCGTTGCTGGACGTGGGCATTATACCTGTCATCAACGAGAACGACGTCATCACGCGACGCACGACGCCACTGATGAATGCGAACAAAATCGCTTGGGACAATGACTCGCTGGCTGCACTGTTTGCACGGGAGATGAGGGTGGACTTGATGGTCGTACTCACGGACGTGGACGGCATTTACACGGGCACGGAGGCCGATCGGCAGCCGGTTTCGACGTTCCAGCGCGGCGACAAGCACGTCGTTGCAGCCGAGAGCCGCGTCGGAGCGGCTGGACAGACTGACAAGCTGCACTCTTGCATCCGTGCCGTCGAAAATGGCGCTGTGCAGGCAGCGGTGATTGCGAGAGCAGAGGAAAGCGTATTGCTGCGGATTGTGGACGGCGAGCGAGTTGGCACACTATTTGTGGCACGTGGAGAGTCCATTGGCGACGCCGATGCGGAAGAGCAGCACATTGACCCGCTGTACTCGGGTATCGCTTCGCCTGATCGGAGTCTGGTAAGCAAGCTCTAGGACGCACACCCGGTCTGGGTTTTCGCCGTGTCCACTCGATTGGCATTGTACCTGGTGTCACCATTGTAGTCTATCGAATAGCCGCGAAGGACTGGGCTAGAGCAAGCATGTTTGCAAAGAAGATGTGACCGACCGCATGGGCCGTGCTTTTGTGGGATACCATGCCATGTGTCGTACACGAAAGGGTATGTGACAACTGAAATAACGCGGGAGTAGCGCTGCCACCTTGTCAGTACTCTTACGTCAGCAACGCGAATTGCAGCGAAGTTGCCACTAAAATTGAAAACAGTTGACCAAACGGGTCGCAACCTTGCACTGACGGTGCTTACTACCATTACCATCGAGTCGTCCCGGTTCTCAAGACATCCCCAACTAACACGCAAACACACAAAACGGAAACGTTGCATCATTTACACACTACGCAATCGGGCGGCAACGAGCTGAAGACAGCAGATGTCACGCATATCGACTTGGAACAGCTCGTCGGCACCAGTGGCTCTCTCGGCCACATCTGCAGAAGCATTCGTAAGCTAACGGCCGCTCGCAACCCAAATTTGTACGTTTGGAAGAATGCATAAGCTGCTTCGCTTTTGTTCAAAGCACGTTTTGCACCGAGATCAACGCATAGCAGGAATTACATGTTTCTGTCATGTCCCCTGTGCATGTGGTTCCGCTTCCGTCATGGCTTACACTTAATCCGTAGTCATCGAAAGGGTGCCACATGCTACAGCCAGCATTCGCATCTGCATGTTTGCGACAGCCTGTGACTTCGGCCACGAGCCATGGCGTCATGGGGATCGTTCACCAAGATACCAGCTATGGCTTTGGCAAGAATTGTCGCTATTGCTCTATCGTCGTTCTCCGGTCGTCAGGGGCTCATAGTCTGTAACGGCGCGACAAGTCGTTTTTGCAACCCTTGACTACCGCATTTAATTTACGTACATGCACCTACGGATCGAGACAGAGAAGCGGATCAAGGTAGAGGAGCGAGCTAGTTGACACAAGTAATCCGGTCGTTCGAACTGGTTGAGCTGTGGAATCTTCGTACCAAAACAACACAGGACCGGGACTGGCGGCTGGTAGACGGCCCGTGTATTGCAAGGTGCAAACACTACAGTGTTGATGCGGTTACAGTACAATGCAGCAAATTTGCTGGCGTTGTTCATGTGTTGAAGCTTTCTTAAGAAAGAAAGAGTGGCTGAACTACTAATTTTCTGTGCTGCAACTACAACAAAAGCGACGTGAGAGCAAAGTGACATGGTGCTGTCTGATAAGAAGGCGCAAGCCGGAGGTCCCATCTACCGCCGAGCGAGCAGGGTAACACAAGACTGATCAGTTTTTGTTCGCAGCACCTTGAATCAAGAGGGTCCTAGGAATGTCATTCTCCAACTACTCTTTGTTGCGTTCAACGCAAGAGAACAAGTCCTCCACAAGTGACACCTCATCCGACAACATTCCACTGCGTCTCTGGCGTGGTATGAATGCTTACCATTTGACCACAACGCATCATCGTGTTATGGAAAGAGGGACTTGCCTTTGAGAATGTACGTCGCTGCGCGTCTACCTCTCACAATTGAATATCACAAAGGATAAAGGAGACGGTTGAATATGAAGGCTACTTCTAGGATCGACCCAATTCAACTTACCTGCTGCTGTATAATCTCTACAAGCACTGATGGCGTCTGCGCTCGAAAACGTGCGATAGCTGTGAAAACGGCGTCTACTCCAACGGCGCCTACTCCAACGGCGACGCTTACTGCTAGAAAGTCCGAGCATATTAGTTGCTAACAGGAAAAGCCTCCCCTCGATCTGAATACCGTTAGGTATAGTCGGTCGCTGCTGTTGGCGGAGCTGCTGCTGATCTCTTTGCTGGCGACGATGCTCCTGCTGTCGTGACGCCGGAGATATGGGACCGTCGTGTGCTAGATGAGCTCGTTAAGTCTTTGACTATACATCCTCATGTAGAAACACAACGATTTCGCCGAGTTAGGTCGGCAACACAGGGCTTACGCCGGGATAACACAATGTCTGTTTGTGGTTCCCTCAGGCTCAGTTGGAGCTCTCGCCTCGCTTTGTGCATGCAGCCACCTCCAAGGAGTCCACCTGAACCCGCAGCTGCTTCCCTCACAATTCTCTGACCTCACACCAAAGGATGGGTGTCGACGCTTTACGCGCTTTTGCAGATAGATCACTGGGCGTTGTAACGGGGCACTGTTGACTACGTACTGGTTGACCAGTACGGAGTATACTTCCCTTGACGACAGTGGTCGACAGCGCCCTGCTAGGTGTTAAAGGAACAAAGAGGAAGGAAAGGAGACTAAGAAGTCCGACTAGTCTCTGGTAAAAGTAAAACTGTATTAATAAATTAAGTCTTTTTGCTACTGTCTCTCTGTTTAACCTGACTTTATTATGTTAATATAACTGAGTGTATGGTGACGTCTCGTCACCACTCATTGCGCGCGTCTAGCAGCGATTGATGGGTTGATATCATCACGATGTCAATCAATGAGTAGACCCTTCGGTCATCTCAACAATATCACCATGTCTGTGATATTGTTAAAATAATATTCGACGTAATATCCTTTATTGTCAAAGCGTTTAATGACAATTTCATGTAACGGACTACCCCGTTACATCACCCCTCCCTTATCTGATAGTCACCGTGAGACTATCGAAAACTTGGTGGCCACCCATTGGACATCAGTGGGACAGGGAGCACTTGTTTGGTCATACCCATTCACTCCTGACCCTGCCTCGCATAGTTAACATGTCTATGCGAGGTGATTCGAAGACCACACAGCCTGCTGCTGTGCCAGCCTCTGCGGCAGACGCTTCGTCGTCTGCTGCTTGTTCTCCGTCTGCAGCAGAAGGTGCTGCAGATGCACGCGGTATCGCACCACGTGCACATGATGACCTTGACAATGAGGTCATCAAGTATGGCGAGTCAGACGTGCCTGACTCGCGCAACGTTCCAGAGGCATCCCGATCACCGGCGGTGCCTCATCGTTAGTCAAGAGCACTGTCGAACGAGCGGACTCGTGAAATTCATCACAGTCTGTTCGGCAGTGATGATGAACTCTATGGTGAGGAATACTATGCCTCACCAGTATCAACTCGTGCTTCCCCGCAAGAGCGTGATGACGATGGCGAGAGCCGTCGTCATTCTGAAAGCCGTGGTACCGAGACAGGTACCACATCGAAGGGTGGTGAGCTCAAGCCGTGGCGCTTGCCCGAGCAGCTCATCAATAGCTTGTCTCACGAGACAAGCCAACACCATCGAATCCCTTTATTCGATGCAACTGAGCTTCATGACTTAAGTTCCAGCGCGAGTAACTTCCGCGCTGAAGAACACTTCTATTTCGATGCCTTCCTTAGTCATCGATGGTATAATGGTAACCAAAACCGTGACAAGAACTCGCTTTTGGCAGCGTGGAACGCCTTCGTCCAAAATGTCAAGAATTTTGGACGAGAAGGGTGGCTCAAGAAGCTTGAGGCAATACGCCTCAAGTTTGAAAAGCGAACGCCAACCGGTGCTAGGTATCGGTTGCATCGTTTGTCGAGTGAGGCAGGCATTCCATGCCTCACTTGGGGTGGTCCTTGTGCGAGTTGTGTTGACAACCTTCAACGTGCACATAGGGATGTGTACTCCCTAAGTTCGCCCTGGGGAAGGGCACACATCTCGGCTGAGCTGCGGGACGCGATTGCAAGCTTGCAATCCGTCTACAAGCGCCAAAAGCGCGTGTTTACCGATGGTCCCTCGGACCAATCGGATGAGTCATGTCATACTGATGGACGAGACCTTCAACGTCAGCCATCAGCTGGGAACGAGGTTCCCAGCTGTCAAAGGAAGGTGGTTATCCACGCCACCGGACGAGGTAACTCGTCCTTTATTCTGAATCGCCACGGTGGTTCAAGATAAGCTCCACAAGAAGGCGTTGACCACCGTGGGAATCCACCAGTGAATTCGGTGGCGGTGGACAGACAAGGTCCGGCTCAGACGCCAGGGGCTGCAGGAGACTTTGGGTAACCACGAGCGTTACCTGACCGAGCTGAGGGAGGACGTCGATCACGAATATGATCGTCGACACGCCTTGCAGTCGGACGTGCGACGTCTTCGTGCCGACCGGTAGAAGGACCGATCGGAATTCGCTTTCGCTCAGCTTGAGAGTGAACGCGAGAGGCGTCGTTTGCGCGACGAGCTAAAGACAGCTCGTCGCGAGGCCGCGTCGATGAAGGACCAACTCCTTTCGACGAAGGACCAACTTCAGTGTTTGGTCCTTGATCACAAGAATCTGTTAGGGATTCTTGAGCGCGCCGGTTATCTCCATTCTCGCAAGAGACCTCGTACTGATGGTACGGGCGGAGACGACCAACATAAAACGTAGGATGCGTGCGCATCCTGCGGCGCAACTTAATCGTGTATGCATTGCCCTTGCGATGCAACACACGAAAGGGACCAATGTATTTCGGCAGTAGTAAACTACTGTCGACATCAGTGACTACATGTCCAGGTAAGTTTACCGTAGACAGTAGTACTAGGTCGTTAACCTTAAAGGAAAGAACATTTGCTCTTCCATTCTTGTATGCGTTCCGTTTCTGGCGGTCCACCGCATTTGCGATGGAGTCCTGAACAAAACGGACTACCGCCTCTCTAGTCAGCAGGAAGTTCTTTGCTTACTCGTTTTTTTGTCTTTCAGTGCGCTTCGTGCGCACTGCTAAGAGATCGTTCACTTCTTCAACGAGGGTGTCTTCTTCCTCGCAAAAATATTCGTTGACGATGCTGAATATCCCAGCATCGTCGTCGTTGTCTGATGTAGCAGCAGCGTCATCGTTGTCTGATTTAGCAGCAGCGTCATCGCTACTGCTAAGCTCGATTTCCTCGATGTCGACGTTGTCGACATCGGCATCAAACGTATCGGCGTGAGCGGTGATACGTGTTGAGCAAGAGACAAAACGGTTTTTGCTCGAGCGAGTCCCTTCCCCCCTTAGCTCAGAGTCAC